CTCTCCTCGCTGTTCCCTCTTCCCACTTCATTTTATCCTTCTGTTCTATTCTCTTTGTCCCTCTATTCCCTTCCCTCTTCTCCCACTCCTTGTCTTTTATTTCTATCCTCTCTGTCCTCTCTCTCACCCTTATAATACCCCCCCCTTTATTCCTCATCGCCTATACCCAGCATAACCCCCCAGCCATATTTCGTACAAGAAAATGCGAGCTGACATCATTCCAAAAAGCCCTCCTCGACTCCATCAAGGCAGACCATGGATACAACATGGACAGTAAGACTGTACGCAACCTCCTACAGCTGATGAGCCAGTTCGACTCTACGCAGCGACGAGACTTTTTGCAGTTTACGACGGGTAGTCCAAAGTTGCCTATCGGAGGTACGTCTCCTCTCTCCCTCTCTCTCTCCTTCTCTCTCTCCTTCTCTCTATGGAGAAGAGGTGATGAGGAAGAATAAAAGGAGGCTGAAGAAGAATACTAATCGTCACGATACAGGTTTCAAGAGTCTGACACCAATGTTCACCGTCGTGTGCAAGCCCAGCGAAGAGCCATACACGTCGGATGACTACCTTCCCAGCGTCATGACGTGCGTAAACTACCTCAAACTGCCCAACTATAGCGACATGGACTCGATGACGAAGCAAATGTCGGTTGCCATGAAGGAAGGCCAAGGAGCTTTCCACCTATCTTAGGGGTTTCCGTCTCGGGCAGGTAGACGGAACATTTTATATCTTATACCCAGGACTTTCCCCCCCACCCCTTCCATTTTCTTCTTTCAGTTCTAGTTCTAGAAAGAAGGAACTGCTAGTACTAGTTTTCTATCCTCGAGGACGAAATGTCCCTATGTATGGTATCCATCTAACCTTAATCCTACCTAGAATGGGACTATCCTGTCAAGAATGATTATAGAAAGAAGTCAAGACCAAACCAATCAATAAAGCACTTTGAAGAGATGACTACAAGGCATGACTGACTGTAATGGGAATGTCAGTGTAATGGGAATCGAATAGAGTTCGGGTTCTCGGGTGCTGTAGTCTTGCCGACACCCTACTACCCTCTCCCCCGACCCTCCATGTAATTTTCAATATCAGTATTGAAAAGGATAATGTTCCATTCTCAACTCTAGCTTGATTCTGACCATGATCATGTTGTGTTTGATGGATGTGGGAAAAACAAAATCTCTTTTTATCTCTTTTTCCCTTTTTCCCAAGATTTTTTTTTTCCAAAAAAAGAAAAAGAAAACAGTTTCATTATATTAGCAAAGCAATATCCATCATCATATATGATGAAATACACACCGACAAACACATGGACCCTGTTTTAATCTTTGTTCTTGAATCATTCATTATATTTCCACTGTACTCCGTCAAACATTGTGGAAATCTCCGTTCCAAATCCAAAGCCCGAGGAAAAAAAAGAAACAGCAAGAAGAAGAAGAAAGGTAGTATAAAGAAAAGAAAAAGAAAAGTCAGATACCTGTCATCGCCCAGAGAATCCCTCCCTCCCTCCCCTCCCTTTTTTCCTTTCTTTTCTTTTCTTTCTACTCTGAACCCCATAAATCAGGCGGATCGACAGAACCATCACGCAAAAGACTATCGGGCAACATCTGACTCCTGGTGAGGAGCTCAGAGGTCGAAAGTGAAGTGTCGGAGTTGTCAAGCGTGATGGGGGAAGAGGGGTTATTGAAATGCGGTGTGCTGGAGGGCTGCTGCTGCTGCTGAGACGCCCGCGTAGATGGTAGAGGAGGGGGGGCCAACGGCTGCTGGTGCTGGTGCTGCTGGTGCTGCTGGTTCTGCTTCCATCGTGGTTGAGACCAGGGTTTCTCCGGGGTGGATGCTTGTGAGGCGGTTGTTGCCTGGGAGGCGTGCATCTCCTGAGGACGGTCACGTTTCCTGAGGGGGGTGGAGGGGACGAGGATGGCGTCTTGGTCTCCATCTTGATCTTGGTGTTGATCGCGATCTTGGTCTGCAGGACGATGATCCCTAGACGGTGGACGACGTCTTGAAGAAGACGGACGACGACGGCGGCGACGAGTGCTCCCCTCGGTCTGGGCTACCATGTCGCCGCGGAGTTGGGCCTCGACCTGCAACGACGTGCTGTAGCTGCTGCTGGGGGCGAGGGAAGGGACGTGTGACTCCACCCCCTGCGCACCATCGTCATCACCACCATCATCATCACCATCCTCACCGAAGAGGGCGTGGCGTAGATTGGCGAGGAGCTGGCTCACCCCCGCGGGCGGCAAGTAGACGTATCGAGGTTGACGGCGGGTCTTATCCATCCATCCTTCCTCGAGGATCTCGTCCTCACCGAGCGGGTTGTTCAACTCGTATACCTGCGTGAGGTGGTACCTCCATTGCTGCTGCTGCTCCTGATGCCGACTATTTTCCTCGACGGGTTCGACGCACGCGCAGTAGCGCAGGTTTGAGCCCTCGTCAACGAGCCAGAAGCGCTTAATCGAGGCGAGTACCTTGTAGGGCAGGACCAGGTCGACCTCGTAACCAGCGGCTACGCGGTCGATGGTAGACCAGGGGATTCTGAGCAGGACATCGGTGCGGTGAGTCGGCGGGCCGAAACTCTGGATCGTAGCCAGGGGCACGCGCTGGGACTCGAGAAATTGAGACTGGAACGATGGGGGGCCGTGGTCCAGCGGCTTGCGGAGGGGTCTCTGCTTTGGCGGGGGGAGCCCCTGTCCGGACTGTTCGGCTGTCGAGGCGAGCTCGTTCATGGCGGACTGTGTCTCTGCGCCGGCGATGAACTCGCTATCTTCTTCTTCTTGTGTTGAGGCAATCTTCTCTGCGCCGGTCGTGAGTTTGCCATCGCCTTCGTCGTCGTCTTCTGGTGTCGAGGCAATCCTCTCTGCTGCCGGCAACTTCCGCTGCATATCTGCTGCTGGCTGCTCGGGCTCTTCGTCGACGGCCCCTTGTGGTGTCTCGGCCACCTCATGCTGTTCTGCGGAACCCCCATCCTCCTGCTCTTCTTCTGCGACATCATCCTCGTCGTCCTCGTCGTCCTCGTCAGAGTCAGGAATCTCAAATACACCCCCGTTAACCTTGGGTCCCCTGGGCGTGGGTGTCCCCTCACTCTTGACAGGTGACTCCTCCCCCCCTTCCTCCTCCACGGTCTCACCAAGCTCAGCGCTCCTATTCCGCCTTCGAGGCCTAGTAGGCGTGCTCAGGAGGTCCGTGGCAGAAGACGATAGTCTTGCGGTGGAAGTAGACAAGACCTTCCCCGTAATGTCCTTGAGCGGCGTCCCACGCGAAGTACTCGCATCAGGGCTTTTGTTGGAACCCCAGCTTTCCGTGGCGAAAGAGTCTTCGATAACGACCTTGCGTGCCTTTGGTTTCCCGGGGAGTTGTGAGAGAGGTACCAGCCCTGCTGTTACTGCTGCCGCGCTACTAGACCGTTGTTGGCTGGACCTGAGTGACGGGGATGGTTTCTCCTGGTCGGGAGGGCCGTACCGGTCCAGCATACGTCCGGTCGGGGGCGTGGAGAGCTGGCTGGATGAGGGGATCTCAAAACGGATGGAGCGGGTGGTTGGCGTCTGAGGGATGACGGAGGACTGGCGAGAGGCGGACACAGGTGCCTCGTTCTTCTTGGCGGATGCCACGATGGGCGATGACCTGCTGCTTCTCTCGCCAGCGGGGCCAGGGAGCTGCCTGGCGCTCGGGCTCGGACTTTCCGGTGGTGACTCCTGAAGCCAGTCATCGAACTCTGCATCGCCGTCGTCGTCATCCTGCGAGTCCTGCACGAGTTCACGATTCAAGAACTGCGTCAGGGTCTGCGTGTGGTAAGAGTCACCACCCGTCGTCTTGCGTCTGGAGGCACCGTCGCTCTTGCCACCGCCGTCCGCCCTTTTCGATCTCTTCTTGTCCGATTCGTCCCCACCGACTGTTCTCCTCCTCTTGGTTTCTGTCGCTGCTGCTGTTGCAGGCTTCTTCCCATCTTGCTTTTCCGTCAATGACGACGGCCCGTTCTCCTTGTCGGCACCACCATCAGAAAACCCATCCTCTTCGCTATCGCTGAGCGCTACCTCAGGCAGCTCCGTCATAGTGGACACAAAGTCTATCTGCGTCAGTGTGCGCTGTCGTGCATCTCCGGGCGGGAGGTTCGATGCTGATGCTGATGGCGGGGCTGACGAGATTGAAGTCGAGGGAGGAGGGGGGAAGGTAGAGGAAGGAACTGATCTCGACTTGCGTCGTCCGTATGTGCGTATCGTGCGTCGTCGGGGCGGGAACTGGACTTGTTGGAGGGATGGGGTGGTGCTGTAGATGCGGCTCGGGGGCGGGACGCCGCTGGAGCGAGTCTGCGGGGCCATGGTGAATCACATGGAGAATCCGACGGTTTCTCCTCCCTAGATCGGTTCTTTAGGCTTTTTGTTTGCTCTATCTTTGTCTCCAACTTCTGCTGTATCGATCTGGTGTGGATGGTCTGTATCGAAGGGCTTGTGGGATTGTGGGATGATGATGCAAGCTGGGCTGTGACGTGTTTGTGGGGTTCTACCTTTGTCGGAGGGGGCGAAAACGCGTCGACGCGTAAAGTGGTCACGTTGTTTTTCACTAGCATCATCATACTCAAAACGATTGCTTACAACACCATATAATTGTACTGAACGTCAGGCAACGATTAACCGTACTCGGAACAAAGACGTACGAAAAAGGATCACAGTGTTGTCATCATCGCGTGCAGTTATGAAAAGGGCATCACATGACCTCGTCTTACACATATATAGACCTTCCCCCCCCTCCTTCCCCCTTCCTGCCATCTATGCTTACCTATGCTTTCAAAGTCTTGAAAAATAGACGAGTGAAGAAAGAAAGGATAAAAAAAAACGAGGAAAAATAAGACAAAAAAAAAGAATAAGAAAAAGGGGAAGAGATGAATTATCACCCTACCTAAAGGCAGCCTTGACATCGGCACGAGGCCACTCAAACAGAACATCACCACCATAGATATCCCTGACGACGCGCTCTATCCTAGCCTCGACCTCGGTGTAGAACTTCTCGCATTCGTGCGTAACCTTGCTGACCAGGTCGCGACTCAGGGCCGGGTCGTCGGCGTCGCCAAAGTGCTTGTCCACGCGCTTGCGGAGGGCGTCGATGCCCTTCCGCACCTCGCGAGAGTCGTAGGTGGCTAGCACCTTGTTGAACATGGCGCGCGAGTTGGACGGCTGGGCTGCTATGGCCGTGGCGGGCCGGCCGGACTGCCGTTGCGTCTCAATGTTCTCGAGGTAGTCGAGCAGGCGGCCCAGGGGGCGGCGCATCACGGCGTTGAGATACAGGTTCATGTGCTCGCTGTACTCGGTGTGGGCGTTGTCCTTCCACACTTCGAGCACCTCGAGCCCGCGCGTGTCCGTCTCCTCGGCGAAGTGGTTCATGTTCTCGATCAGCAGGATGTGGAAGTTGAGAGCCTCCTTGTCTTCCGGGTCTGCGCCGCCCGCTGTCGCACCGGGGTTCTCCCGCGCAATCACCATCAGCGACTCGAACATTGACTTGAGCATGCGGTCGTACTCGCGGTCGATGGTGCGGCGGATCGGGAGACTGGGGTCCACGCCCGCCAGCATGTTCTCCACCGCCGTGGAGAAGTTGGGGAATATTCGGATGAAGCCGATAACGCCCTTGCGCTTGTTGATCTTCACCTTGGTCTCCTCGATGGCCCGGATCTGGTCGTCGACAAACTTGCGGAACCGCCCGTTCAATAAGCCATGCAGCTTCTGGAATATCGTGTTCAGGAAGTCTTGGTTCGACTGCGCAATCTCGGCCATCTTCTTCTCCACCGTCACCAGCACACCGATTCCTTGCCTGTTGTCTCTCTGTCAGCAGATGAGGTACACTCCAACGGGTAGCAGCAGCGGTAGGGGGTTACTAACAGAGGATCCTGCCCGAGAACCCACTCCATCAGCCGCGTGAATTCCTGGTCCAAGAACGCAAATATCACCTCCATGGCCCGCGTCACTCTACGCGCCAGGTCGCGGTCCGGCTCCATCAGCCTGCGGCGCCGAAGGTCGCCACCACGTCGGTCTCTGGGACGCAGCGCGCCCACGGCGTCGGGGAAGTCGGCCTGCTCGAGCGTGGTAGCGTGGAAGAAGTCGATGATGAAGTTCTGTTCCATCTCGACCAGGGGGAGAAGGTCATCGAGGGCGCCAGCAAATACCTCGTAAGGGAAGCTGCGGTCGCCGCCGGCCTTCTCACGCTCAACCTTGCTGCCGTCCGCGAGCGGGGATCGGAGGGCACGGGCGAGCGTCTGACTTCGCTTGACGGTAAGTTTCCTGGCGGCTGTGGCCACATTGTCCTGCTGCTTCTCGACCTGCGACGTGAAGAGCAGCTCGGCTTCCTCGCCCGTCATCTTGCGCGCGTTGCGACGCCAGGTGACGATGGCGTTCTGGAACTCGGCCTTGTAGATAGCCATACCCTTGTCCTGGTACAGCTGGATGAACCGACTCCAGTTTTCCCGGTCCGCATCGCGCGCATACAGCATCAGAGGACTGTACTTCCACAGCACGCCGCGCCCGGCCTCGTGGTGGCTGGGGTCCACCTTCTTGGACAGAGCGCCCTCCAGCGCACGACGCGTCTCCGACGAGGCAAGGTCGAACTGGCTCGCCATGAAGTCTAGCAGACGTCGCATGAAGAGGGCACTCTCCTGCATGTACATCTCCTTCTTCTCCTGCACGATCCTCATGTGCCCGTAGCTGCTGTTCAGCCCTGATGTCTGGTCCGCATCCAGGCTAGCCGCCATGCCGTTCACCTTGCCACCGTCGTCGCCACCCAACTTCTTCGGGTCAATCTTGTTCATGGCCTTGTATAGGATCACGAGCGACGACTCCACATCCTCTAGACCGCGGATATTATCGAGCGGCGCGATGCGGAGGACGTCGAGGTCCGTGGACGTGATGGCGCACGTCTCGAGGAGCGATTCGAGCTCCTTCTTGAGCAGCTTCTGGTTGGCCGTCTGGACCTGCAAACCCTGGCCTTGGGCCTCAATGTAGGCAATGTCCTCTGATAGGGTCTGAGCAAAGTTAGCAATAGACATGCACACACACACACACACACACACACACACACACACGCGCGCGCGCGCATGTATACATGTACACATGCCACGGCGAGGACGTCTGAGGCTTACCGAAAGTTCAACCGAGTACAACGTGAGAAGGTTGTCCAATTCCTCACACTCAGAGATAGACAGGTCGATCCCGCGCTTGATAGCGTGCACGCGCTCGTCTTCCTCCTGGAAGCGCGCCAGCCAGCCGCCAGCCTGGGTCTTGTTGATCTCGCGGTCCAGATCGACCTTCATGTCGTCCAGGTTGCGAGTCTGCATCTGCTTCCCGGGAATCCAGCCGAAGTGGTTGAGCCAGGTACCGATCTCGTCGCTCTTGTTGTCGAGGATGTTGGGGTCGATGCCCAGGTGTTGGAGATACTTGGCGTCATTGCCAGCCACGACCGACCTCTTCGGCTGCTTTACTTCAGGCTGCCGGGGTTCCGGCCCCTTGGAGGCCACCGTTTCTTCTTTGGGAACCTCTCTAGGCTGACCCTGGGAGCTGCTGGGCCGGCTGGAGTTGGGCACCGTGATCTTGACCTCTGGAACAAGCGATGCTCTCTGGGGAGCCCTGGGGGGTAGGACAGGCTCTGTGGAAATTTCATTTTCGTTGCGGGAAGGCGGTCGGGGAGGTGCGGGGACGACGCTCGTGATACCGTCTGGCTCGTTGGTGGTCTTGGCCTGCACCGCAAGCTGCCTGAGCCTGTCGCCTGCACCTCCGGGGCGGGGCTTGAATACGTTTGCGGCGGCGGCGGCAGACGCAGCCTTGCGGAATACGCCAGCTAGGTCTCCCTTGGACTTGGCGGACTTGATCATCGGCCCCAGCCCTGGACGGTTTTCCTCGCCGTCTGGAGGTGATTGGGGGAGCGATTCCGTGTCGGTAGGGGAAGTAATCGAGGCAGGGGCAGGGGACTCCGGGGCAGCTGGTGACTCGGGAGCGGTTGCCTGACCCAGCGGTTCTCGTGTGACCCGCTCGGGGCTCCGAGGTTCAATACTGGCCATGGACGGCGGCAAAGGAGAGCCAGCATCTGCCATGCTTCCGGTGATGGAGGTCGGGGTGGCCGTTTCCTTGCGGGGCGATGTGCGATCGGAGTTTCTCGGGGGAGGGGCAACGGGATCTCGCTTGGCGACGGCGGCCTGCAGGGGACGCGGAACTAGGTCGCGGTCGAGAGGACGGACGGGGTCCATCGGCGGGCGCCTTCTTTCGGGGGGCACCTGATCTTCGTTAGTAGCGGTGCCAGGCCTAGAAAGCTGCTGCGGTGGCGTCGGCGTCGACATAGATGTTGGCGGCTGCGGCAGGGGCTGCGTTGGAGGCGCAAGGGGTTCGGGAGTCTCGCCGCCGCCGCCGAATCGTCCGAAAGCGCCAGGGCCGTTCATGCCGTTTCGGGAAAGGGGAGGTATACTGGAGGCGTCGTCGCTCCTTGTAGCGAACGACACCGCCACCGATTCCTGGCTCTTGTTCGGGTTGACTTTACGGAATCCAGCCCGGTCTCTGGATGCTGTCGAATCGAAGCTACCGGCCGGGGACGCGTTGCCGCTCATAGGCGCCTGGGCCTGGCTCCTCTGGAACCTAGCAACGGGCTCCGACGGGACCGGAGGAGCGGGCGACGGTGCCGGGGAGGAATAGTTGCTCTGCTGGCTGGGTCGCTTCTCGAAGGCATCTGTCGGCCTGGGCTGGGCCTGTGCCTGGGGCGGAGGTCTAGGCTGCTGTAGGATGGACGGAGGCTGCTGCAGCGATGGCGGCGGCTGTGACTGGACCTGCGGCGGGGGTGGTTGCGGCGGCGCGTTGGCCGAGCGCTTCCCTGCACCCAGGACCTGATCGAGTTCTTTTTGGTCGAAACCGACGAGGTCGGGGAGGTTGCCGTTTGTGTATTTGCCGTAAATCTTGACGAGGGAGGCGATGAAGAATTTCTTCTCCTTGTCAGACTGGGCCTCCCAGAAGTAGGGCTTGCCGAGCAGGACGATGAAGCCGGTATTACCGGCCCACTCCTTCTGCTCCCATGTCACGTTGGGACCGGTATAGGATTCGATGCGGGCGAGGTCGTCGAGGTTCCACGTCTTGCCAATGGAGAAGGTGCCATTAGGGTTCTCCTTGGACTTGTGAACACGCACACGGCCGGATTTCCGGACGGCGATGATGATTACACGTGGCTTCTGGGTGGCTGGCGTGCGGGCTTGAGGAGGGGGAGGGGAGGCAGGATGGGACGAGTACTCGGTGATGCGAATGTGGGTGATGTATGTTTCCTGGGCTAGACGGCGATGGTAGCGTCAGTTAGTCTCGGTTTGGCGGGGGGTCCTGCAGAGTGTGAGAAGTAAGAGTGAGGGGATGGGCAAACGTACGAGAGCCATCAGGTTCCCTCTTGCTGAAGCAGGAATCAATGATGCGGCGTTTCTCGTCCTCGAATCGCCCGGCCCTGCTGGCGCCCGTGCCAGGACCGGCTCCGTTGGCGCGGTCCATATGCGACTCGAGGGACCTAGGCTAGGTGGTTCATGAAGGGGGTAGAGGGGCGAGAGAAGCGGTCGGGGGCCGCATGGGCATGTTCGGAGATGTAGAAGACAGCCGTTGATGAGACCCGGCCCTCGCGCAGTCAGGAAATAGAGGCTGTGGCTAGTTCGAGGCAGATGCCGGTGCTTGGTCGGTAGGGGGTGGAGGGGGTGGTTGGGGCTGACGAGAGATGGAATGAACGAATTCCTGGAGCAGTCAAGACGTTCTGCGACAGATGAACGGCACCTCCCTCTACCAAGCACCTTTGGTAGACCGTAGCGCTGAGAGGTACGGCTGGAGCAGTGCTACATTAACGGGGGGGGGGGGGTATTATGTGAGAGTTGAGCACTCAATCGACCAGCAGCCACAACGTATTACATGTAGTATTATCGTTACATATCAGCGCCAATTTTCCGACTGGGGAGGGAGAATAAAAGTGGAATCTCCTCTCCAAAGACTCCTCCCAAGGGGCGCGATATTGTCGCGTATCTGTGTTGCGTCTTCTCTTCCCTCTTGATAATACTGCCGTTCGTCCTAACAATCCCGTTGAGGCTGCCGTGGCTTTTTCCAGCCTGCAAGCTTCCATGGGTGCTGGCTGTGATGGTAGGTGGATTACAGAGGGTTATAGTGGGTACCTACCTGGCCTACAGGCGTCTTGCCTCCAGTAGCATCCCAGTGCCTTGCAGCGCCTGGCCACCGCTATTGTTCCCCATGAAACGCGGACCGGTGATGGGGCAGCCTATCGGTTTCATGCACACGTTCCTGATGTGTCGGGGATGGCGATTCTTATTTACGATGGCGATGGCCAATATTCTTCTTTGTTCTATGCTATATCATACTTTGTAAACGATGATGGAAAATCGCAATCCGGAGATGACGGCCTGGGAGGGTCCTAGGCTGGGTGTTCTCGCTCTTTCCTAGTTCGTAGTTGAAAAATGGGATATGAAAGCGATGGGTTACCGATGACGCACATGCCCACTCACCCCCCGTCCCCTCTTCCCCTCTCTTGAACTACACCGAGGCCATCCATTCTCCTCGTAAACGGAGGACCATGATAGCGTCACGCCATCAAGAGCTGCCTCCATCCGGATCTCTGGGCCATACTGCCTCATACACCGACGCTAGACGGAACAGGATTCACCCAGGGCACTGAACCGGTAAATCGTTCCTCACCCGGCACGTAGCTGAGCATGGGCATCTGCGATTCCTTGACAGACGCCTTCCATATGAAGTAGCTGCGTACCTGGCTTAAGCTGAAGACCCAGCGGTCCACAAAGGTCAGCACCGCGCTGGACCAGGTCGACGTGGCAGCGACGCGGCCGCCAGCCCTGCAATGGGCCACTGCAGCAGGCTTCCGCAGGTCCTGGTAGGCCTGGAAGGCTTGTTCGATGCTCTCCTTTGCCGGGGTCCTGTCGCCGTCTCGGGACGCGACAGCCTTGTAGAGCTCGTTGCCCAGGGCAAAAACATCCACCATGCCCTGGTTGCAGCCTGAGCCGGTGTTGGGCGTGAACTTGTGCGCGGCGTCGCCTACCAGGACGAACCGTGACCCGCCGCTCCAGTGCTCTGCGACGCCCTCCTCGAGGTCCACCATGCCCGACTGGATGCGCAGATCGTATGCTCGTCGCATGGTGAGAGCATGGCCAGGCAGCAGCGACAAGTCTCCGCGCCTCTCTATCAGTGATCGTTCGTCTGCCTCGGTGTACCGCACGCGTTCTTCGGTCGGACTGTCTAGCCGCTCATAGATGGCTACGACGGCCGAGTCCGGGCCGCAGAAAAGCTGCGTCGAAGTTCCCGGGCCGTGCGTCTCTGACGCGGTGCCCGGCTCCAGTCTGGAAGAGGCGCTCAGAGGGAAGCGCATCCAAAGGCACCGGTAGGTGCTGACGAAGGACCGCTCGTCGTCGGTGGCGTGGGAGAGCCCCGTATTGAGGGCCCGCACGTGCTGTCGTACGATGCTGTGCGCACCGTCGGCGCCGATGACGATAGACCCGCGGTATGCCGTGCCATCCGCGCATGTTACGCTGACGCCGTCCTCGTCGGTCGACAGGCAGGACACCTTTTTGTTGCTCAAGATGCTGACCTTGGCTCGGTCCGGCAGGGATTCATAGAGGGTCTTGGAGATCTCGTGGCGGCTTACGACCCTAGGACGGGCACCGAGACTGAGAGGAGGAAGGTTCATCAGTATAGGGGCACGGAGTCAAGGTCTGGAATCCCCGCTGTACTCACTAGCTGTTGAAATCAACGGCGTAGTCATAATTCCAGAGGTCGTTGCCGTCATGATCCTGACGAGTGTTGTGCCAGAGGGCAGAGCTGACGTTTCCCAGGGTGTCAAGGAGTCCCAGCTGTGCCATGACGCGCAGGCCGGACGGCATGAGGACGAGGCTGGCTCCTGCGTCGACGACGACGCTCTCCCGCCTCTCGAGAAGGACGAAGTCGAGGCCGGCGTGCGACAAGGCGTGGGCGGCGGTGAGGCCGATGGGGCCGCCACCGACGACGATGACTCTGAAGCTGGAGTCCATGTGGGAATGAACAGAAGTTTATACTGGCTCTTCCCTCTTCTTCTTCCTGTATAGCGGCTGGTATGCGTAGGTAGGAAACATGGAGAAGGGGAAGATGCAGGAGAAGAAGAAGAAGCGAGAGGGGCTTATACAGATGTTTACGAATGGCCGTTGTCTGCTTCAATCAAGTTGTATATATAAATGCATGCATCACTTCTGCGGTCTTGCTGACGCTACACAGATCACACCCGCATATCCCAGATCTAGGCCAGGGATGAGTATTGATTGAACGAAAGGCCCGAGCGACGGGACATGCGGCGGTAGTGTTACCACCACCGCCACTGCTGCTCGTATCCACAGTGAACCGAAGAGTCAGCTCGAAGGCGCAGATAAGTCGTACGTCGACATGAGCTTACATGCTAAAACGTGAGTTCCACCTGCCTCATGAGAGAAGGCGGATATTTGGCGAGATGAACCACCAATCAACCTAGTCAGCGAAGCATTGTAACGTTGGGGATGAGGACAAGGCTCATGGCAGATGCCGTCCATGGACCATGGTACATATACCGACTTCGGTCAAGGGTCTCGCTTAAGAAGCGGGTCAGATGCGAGAGGGGTCCAGGGAGAAGGAGGGGGGGAGGGGTAAGGAGGGAAAATGGCAGTGAGAGAACAAGAACGGGAACAGGGGACGAGGAGCTATGGATGTGTCAAGGTATGCCGGGAAATCGGTGACGACCACTTGGCACTTGGGGATGAAAGATGAAGTTTTGCATAGACTTGGTACTATCCATGGCGGTGGAAACGAATCGTTGGGGTATCGCATTCCCGTACGGGCAGGAAAGAATGCCAACGGTTCCAACGACGTTGGCCGCCCAGTTCATAGCATTCGCATCAATCAGCAGTCTTCTTTTTTTCCCCGAGACGTGTATGGAAGATCAAGGGGGTCTGCAGTTGTCGGCCAGCTACGGGTACATTTATTATAGGTGGTATCTGGCTGACTGTAGCTCGTAATATTACTCCGAATCCGTACCCGTACTCGTAGTCCATCATCAGTCGCAGGCTATCTTAGCTATTGGCTATCAACTCTCAGCCATTAGCTATTAACTCTCAGAAGCTATCAGCTATCACAGTATATTGAACTCATCCTCCCCTCGAGAAGGGTTTTTACTAATACCAATATTACCAGTAGCAGCGACAGCACTACGAGTACCTAACCCTTACTACTGTACCAGCTAACCACGGTGCAATAATTACTACTAATGCACTAATGATACCTGCTGTAAACCGGTAACGACACCACCTACTGATAAAGCCATAATAGCTACTATTACCTGCTACAGTAATAACTAATAGCTAGCTAATCTGTGCTGTAGGTGATTCCTATAGCTACTGTACAGATTGTTATTTCTCTAGTAGCAGCGTAAGACGACTGCCAATTCAATACAATCATGGGAGGCCAATCAATGAAAGCATCATTGTCTGGTTTCAACTCCAAGTCACTGCTCCAACCGTCGATCCCACGCGAACCTCGGGACTCGCATCTTTCACATACCAACTAATGATACGGTGCTAGCCCTACGTAGGCATATCTGTCCTCATACACATTACAGCAAAGATCAGCCCGCGGGACCCACGGGACCGGAGACACTGACTGCCCGAGCTTGCAACTGCATCGTGCAATTACAAATACAAAGACAGCTCTTCTTGTTCACCTCACACTCTCTCCCCTTTCTTCCCTCTCTTGTTTTCTCCCTCATATTCCGTCCGTCGTGCTTCATACATCGAAGGGACCAGGTTGAGCTCAATCAACGACAAAACAGAAGAAAATAAGAGAAGAACAAGAAGAAGAAAACACACACACACACGCGCGTACGAGCAATCATGGCATCATCATCATCGTCATCGCGAAAGACCCTGGTGACGGCATCCAAGGGCGGCGTGACGGCGACCCTGTTCTCCGTCGCCATCCTGGCCGTAGTGTGCGCCTTGGCATTCGACGCCCTGCACCTGCAGCTGAAGCGCTCCGGCATGCGCGACCTGCTCAAGGAGTTCATCGACCCGGCTGACACGCGCATCCGCAAGCACTACACTGGCGTTGCTGCCGTCGACAAGCTCCTGTTCGTCCTGGTCGTCTTCTTCCTGAACGTGTTGGACCCGAGCCGACCGGAAACCTTTTTGTTCGTCGTGCAGTTTGCCGGGCAGCTTGTCGCCCCCGTGGTACTGCAGCTGGTCGAGAGTACGCGGCGAGGCAACTCTTGGAACCCTGCTGGCTTGTACGCTTCTCTCTCTCTCTCTCTCTCTCTCTCTCTCTTCATTTTTCATCTTATTTTATTCAATTCGTTCATCGTGACAAGTATCTCCATCCTGTCATAGTCTCTCTCTCTCTCTCTAACATTGTGGTAGTGCCATCTTTTGGGGTCTGCTGATGCAGATCTTCGGATACGCCGTCGCCTTCCCGATCTTCGCCATCGCGCACCTGGTCTTCTCGCCCACCGACGCCCAGAGCCTGTCGCTGCGTGACCCGTCCAGGCTGACGGTCGTCGTCCCCGCCATACTGCTAGGATATCTCGTGCCCACGCTGCTGCAGCTGTTGCCGCTGGAGGACTACTCCCACCAGACGGCCATTGCCATCTGGCAGCCCTTCCCCGTCTACACCTTCGTCCTGTCCTGGGCCTTTAGCCATACGGCCCAGCGTCTGACCCTCACGACGGGCGGGGCGCCCGACAAGAACGACACGGACAGGAACGCCGTCGACACGGCCTACGACTTCGTCCTGGCCGTCGGCGCAATCAGCCACTGGGCCACCATCGCGAGCATCGTCGCGGTTTCTGTGCAGCCCGAACTGTTCCCGCCCAGTGTCGCGGAGTCGCTCACCTTGGCCAAGGTCTTCGTCCCCAAGCCTATCCGCTCATACGGCCCCGCCTCCCTCCCCGAAATCTGTAAGCAGTTCCTTCAGTGGGACTACATCTTTGGCTCGGCAGCCAGCCTCATCTGGGCTGCTTCCCTGGCTGCTAGGGTTGGCGCGTGGTCGTTCAGCCCGGCGGGAACTGTGTCTATTCTCAGGTACATCGTCATCTACGGTCCTTCCGCCGCTGCTGCGGCGCTGATGAAGAGGAGGGATGCCGTCGTGTATGGTGCCTAGATTCCATAGATGGGAGTGCTGCCTCTTGGGGTCCTTTTGACTCGTATTCTCTTGCTTGCCCATAACTTCCGGTGAGCAGTCGTATTGTTTTGGAATATGTAGTAGATGACATTGATGCTACTAGAGAAATGCCATGTAATAAATTCTTGATAGGCGTTTTGCCATGACGCCATTATACATGTGATACGTTCCAATGGCACCAGCACCTGCAATCGGAGGCAGTCTGCTATATACTAAATCATTGACGCAGCTTTTTTTTTTTTTTTTTTTTTTTTTTTTTTTTTTTTTGAAAAAACACAAGCTTGCAAACGTGAAGGTATAGAGGTAATGTTGAACAAGTAGAAGAAAGGAAGAAAGGAAAATAGTAGATTCCCGTATACCATCTCTCTGATAATAATGCCTTGACACTTTCACTGGTCATGTCCGGCGTGCCAAGGCACATACTCGGGCTTCCATGTTGTTGTGGGGTTGAGGTATGTGTGGGGTTTGAAACCCCCCCCCCCCCCCCYCCCCCCACAAGCCCCATAGAATCCGATAAGTCAACAACATATTACACTGAATTCCTCCCTCGCTTCCCCTCCCGGGATCGTATTATCCGAGGTCGTGTAATATATATCTTCAATCTCGTACTCACTTAATCCAGAACATTGTTTCTCAACTTATATTATTTTCTTTCTCTTCTTTTATTTTAATTTTTTTAGGTCTCGAAAAGCTTGTTGTTCAATTCACATTCACAACCCGTGTTCCTCGTCCAGACGCTGCAGTAGAACCATCGTCATGTCGCCATCTCCCATTGTCAGGGTCGCTCCTAACGTAAGTCTGTTCCACTGGCATGCCTGTCGCGAGATATTCACCGCAAAGCTCCTTAGCTCTCGAAAGCTGATGAATCCTCCCCGCTCACACTTTTCTCCCTTCTCACCAGGCGGCAAACCGAGCTCTCAATCTCCTCAGGACAGTCCAGTACACTCACCCCCCTTCATGCCCATGCCACTCCAATCCGGGGTACCATGCGCAGCAGTCGAGCAGCAGTCTCCTGTCACGGCTCCAGGCTGGACCGGGCTCTCCCGCACGTCGCTACGGCACTCCGGCGGCGGCAGAGCAAAAGGAGTACGCTTTTGAGATGGCGTCCTCGTCCGTCCGGTTCGGCCCCGGCGTGACAAAGGAGGTGGGGATGGACTTTAAGAATCTCGGTTCCAAGAGGGTGTGCGTCGTGACGGATGAGACGGTCGACAAGCTCGATGCTATGAAGCAGGTGCGCGAGGGTCTCACGAGGGAGGGCATCAGCTTCGAGGTGTTTAAGAATGTCAAGATTGAGCCCAAGGACAGTTCGTACGTTATTCTCATCCTTCATTCTATCCAACATCACCGGTCCCTTTGCTTTCCCTGGGCGGAGGAGCAGACGGACTGAAAAAAAAAGAGAAGAGAAACAAAAAGAGGACGAAAGACACTAACATTCTCTTCAGCATCAAAGAAGCAATCGAATGGGTCAGGCCCTACCGGCCTGACGCCTTCCTGGCCGTGGGTGGCGGCTCCGTCATGGACACGGCCAAGCTGATGAACCTGTACAATGCGTACCCGGACGCCGACTTTCTTGACTTCGTCAACGCCCCGCTCGGCAAAGGCCGACCCGTGGACAAGGCGTTGACGCCGCTGATTGCCGTGCCCACGACGGCGGGGACGGGCAGCGAGACTACGGGCACGGCCATCTTCGACCTGGTGTCACACAAGGCTAAGACGGGCGTGGCACACCGCAACCTCAAGCCCACGCTGGGCATCTGCGACCCCCTAAACACGCGCACCATGCCCGCCGCCGTCAAGGCCAGCTCCGGCCTCGACGTGCTCTGCCACTCCCTCGAGTCCTACACAGCCATCCCCTACAACGAGCGCACCCCACGCCCGACCAACCCGCTCAACCGCCCGGCCTACCAGGGCGCCAACCCCATCTCCGACGTCTTCTCCCTGCACGCCCTGAACCGCACAGTCAAGTACCTTCCCAGGTCTGTGCGGGACCCGGACGACTACGAGGCCCAGAGCGAGATGCTCCTTGCTGCCACACTGGCCGGTATCGGCTTTGGAAACGCCGGAGTCCACCTCTGCCATGGTAGGTGCAAACCCCCCTACCCACCCTGTTCCTCTGCATTGTCCGATGTGTGCCGTGCTGACGAGACCTGAAGGCATGTCGTACCCTATCTCTGGCCAGAACCCGGGCTATAAGCACCAGGGCTACGACGTCCCCAACCCCATCATCCCCCACGGAGTGTCCGTCGCCGTCTCCGCCCCCGCAGTCTTCCGCTTCACTGCCGCCTCCAACCCGGAGCGCCATCTCGCCGCTGCAGAGGCCTTCGGCGTCGACATCTCCAACGTCAAGCGTGAGAGTGCGGGCGAGGTCCTCGCCGAGGCTATCACTCGGTTCCTCGGCGACCTCGGCGACCAGCCGGCCGGGCTGAAGCATCTCGGCTTCAGTGGGGCGGACATTGACGCACTTGTCGAGGGGACCATCCCGCAGGCTCGTGTGCTCAAGCTGGCACCTGGGCTGGATACGGAGCTGGAGGCGGAGAAGGAGCAGCTGAGGAAGTTGTTTGAGAGTGCCATGTCACATTAGATCAGGATGGGTAGTTTGGGGAGTCCAGGTGTGCGCGTTGCTTTTTTTATCTCGGGGGGAGAAAATGAAGAATTTTTTATAATGCGATGTAAGAATGGCTATGTGTATCGGCGGTCTCGTCCGTGTCATTTTTATGTACTGCAGTATCAGGGGGACTTCAATCAGTACTATTGGCAATGAGAAAGATGCTCTTGGATGCTATGAAAGGAACTCGCCTAGGCAGTTATCCTGGCCTTTTTTTTTATGAGACCGCGCAAGTTGGCATCAATGCTAGTCCCTCGGAAAGAGGAAGGCGTATCTTATGTCTGAACTAGGAAAGCACCGTGCAACGAATGGTTTGTTGCGTCACCCTCTGTGCCCGCGTGCTCCTTCTTTGCCATGTCCAGGATCCCCAGTCATGTTTCACCGTAGCCGATATCGGGATCAGACAGAGATCAACCTCCGCTCGTACGAGCCAGGATGCACGATCCTGTGGCCATGGAATATGTATGTTTAATGCCTAAAAACGACAATAGCGGGTAGCTCACTGGAACTTCTCGGGGTCGCTTCGAATCATCTTTCTCGATACGCTAATCTGCTTGACGAGCGCCAGTTTGCGTGGTTCGACCGCTCGTCGATCGAGCCTTCGCTTCCCATTTGCAAAAACAACAGTATGATCGGGCACAGTGTCGCGGGGTGCTATAACACTTCTCGACGTTATCGTGCAGTACTGCGGACGAAGACGTCAGCGACATTACATACCGGTAAGATGTAGGGACGAGGGTGAGGGGGGAAATGTCGCATGAAACATACCTTGCCAATCTTGGCACCGCTACCAATCTTGCTGCCAGGCTGGATGACGGTGCCCTCTCCCACGTCAGTGCCCCCCGACTCGATCGTCGTCCCGGCCTCGATGACGACGTAGTCTCCCAACGTCACACCACCTCCCAAAGGAGACGAACCTCCATCCTCGTCAGCCTCCACCTGGGGCTCCGCGCCGACCTGGCACCGCTCTTGGATGACGCATCTTCGGCCAATCAGGATGCTGCCGGGGGTCGAGTTGAAGCGCGCGCGGGGGTGGATCAACGTTTCGGACTGGATTGTGATCGAGTGCGTGCCGACGAGGACGGCCTCCTTGGGTATGGTCAGGGACGATGAGAAATTGACGGGGGGTTTAGGACCACTCGAAGGGGCGACGGAATGACGTTTGCTACTGGACATGGCAGGCCAGCACGTATGCCTTGCAAAATAAAAGGAAGAAGAAAAAAAAAAAGTGTAGGCCAGCAATGCTAGGATTTGGGAATGATGATATCAAATATTGTAGAGTTGACGTATTCGCGTCCAAGATTTGGAGCAGCTGTCGCGCCAGGACCTAAAGTTGGCCGCCGTGGGTCCAAAAATGAATGCCCCAGGCTACAAGGCTTGAGTGCCAAAGTCGCCTACGAGCTTGCCCATAATTTTACCCCGGATTGATGGGCCCAAGTGGTAGTAGACCCACGTCTTCATGGGCCTCCACTCTCAATTGCGACCATTGCGACCATTGCGTATGGTGTATTTCAAGCCTTTAGATGAAGAGAGACAGACCAGAGTCGGTTAGGTGTAGTCTCGGAGTCTCGAGGACATGCAGTGCATACGAGTACGCTCTATTGAATAGTTGGTGGACAGGGCGCTGTAGGTAGTAAGCGAGAGTCTGGGCGTGTCCTGATGGCACTTACACGAAAGATTGAGGTGAGAATGGAAATGCGGGGTGTCAAGTGGGAAAATCAATAGCTGAGAACTGTGCACATATTTCTTCCAGAAATTAGGAATCCCAGCATCCCTACGGTGGTAATTCATGTAGGACAGTCCGCTCTGTGGCATTACTCATGCCTGGAGGACAGAGCCGAGGGCCTCTGCATCGTACGACGTGTGGGGGGCAACCCCAGGAGACAGAGTTGATTCACGTGACTTTGATCTGGAGATAGACGGGGGCAACCCCGCAAAGACAACAGAGGACGAAACACCTTACAACAGCACAGAGCGTGGTAAAATGGCAGAAAAAAAGCAACAGAAATATAGGGAAATTTTATATGCATCCATATAACCAGAAATAATCGTGTAAGCGCAAAGAATGGCGGACCTACCGGGGAAAGATGCTCCAAACCCCCAGATTTCAGCGAGCTCCACGTCGGCTAACTCAAATAACAAATCTGCTAAGCGAGACTTGTGATTTGCCAGCCAGGTGGGTGCGGATAGCGGTATTACGCTAACGGTTATGCTGAGTAAGTCGGGGGAGGATGATTGACCAATCATAGAAAGGATATTTCTGACCTGATGCCGAAGGCAACAACCTGGAGTAACTTGGCAGGAAGCCTTGAAGTGCCTCACGTTCCCTCCAACGTATATTTGATCGTATTCCAACCCCCCCAATCGCCAGTCAACAAACGTCACGATGCTGTCTACGAGAGCGGTGCCCAAGCAGGCCGTCACCGTCTCACGGACTGCCGTGAGAGGTCTGGCAACTGTCCAGGATGGCACCCCGAAGCGAACATACGGTGGTCTGAGGGATCAGGACCGCATCTTCCAGAACCTCTACGGACGGTACCCTGCCGACCTTGCCAGCGCCAAGAAGATGGGTGACTGGCACAAGACCAAGGAGATTATCCAAAAGGGCCACGATTGGATCATAGGCGAGGTCAAGGCATCTGGTCTTCGTGGCCGTGGCGGTGCTGGCTTCCCTTCTGGTCTGAAATGGGTAAGCAGATAGTCCATCATCATCAACAACCGGGGGAGGCGGGCGGGGGTCGCCGGGCGAAGCGGATTTGTCGGTGCGCTAACAAGATTGAAATCATCCAACAGTCCTTCATGAACCCAAAAGGCTGGGATCAAGACAAGAAGCCACGATACCTCATCGTCAACGCTGACGAGGGTGAACCCGGCACGTGCAAGGACCGCGAGATCATGCGCAAGGACCCCCACAAGCTGGTCGAGGGGTGCCTCGTCGCTGGCCGCGCCATGAACGCCACGGCTGCCTACATCTACATTCGCGGCGAGTTCTACCAAGAAGCCGCCATCCTCCAAAACGCCATCAACGAGGCTTACAAGGACGGTCTGATCGGCAAGAACGCGTGCGACTCTGGCTACGACTTTGACGTCTTCATCCACCGCGGAGCTGGTGCCTACGTGTGTGGCGAGGAGACGTCACTGATCGAGTCGCTCGAGGGCAAGCCTGGCAAGCCCCGTCTCAAGCCCCCCTTCCCGGCCGCTGTAGGTGTCTTCGGCTGCCCTTCCACCGTGGCCAACGTGGAGACCGTCGCCGTGGCGCCTACCATTTGCCGCCGCGGCCCCGACTGGTTCGCCAGCTTTGGCCGCGAGCGCAACCAGGGCACCAAACTGTTCTGCATCTCGGGCCACGTCAACAACCCCTGCACGGTCGAGGAGGAGATGTCCATCCCCCTGCGCGAGCTCATTGAAAAGCACTGCGGCGGCGTCCGCGGCGGCTGGGACAACCTCCTGGCCGTCATTCCTGGCGGCTCGTCCACGCCTATCCTTCCCAAGAGCGTCTGCGACGACCAGCTCATGGACTTCGACTCCCTCAAGGACAGCCAGTCCGGTCTCGGCACGGCTGCCGTCATCGTCATGGACAAGAGCGCGGATGTCGTCCGTGCCATCAGCCGTCTGTCTCACTTCTACCGTCACGAGTCCTGCGGACAGTGCACTCCTTGCCGTGAGGGTAGCAAGTGGACCGAGCAGATCATGCAGCGCTTCGAGGCCGGTGAAGCCCGTGAACGTGAGATTGATATGCTCCAGGAGCTTACCAAGCAGGTCGAGGGCCACACCATCTGTGGTACGTTTTCTTACTTTTCCTACGTCACGTTTACTCTTACCACCCTCTTATTATCCTTTCCATCTTTCTTTTTTTGGAGGATGATATGCTAATGGCCAGTCCAGCCCTCGGTGAAGCTTTCGCCTGGCCCCTCCAGGGTCTCATCCGTCACTTCCGACCAGAGCTCGAGGCCAGGATTCAGAAATACTCTTCTCAGCATGGAGGTCAGGCCTTTGCCGGTGGATGGGAGAGGTCGGCGAGACAGCAGGGTAAGCTGATTGCTCCTGGGCAGTAAAAGGAAAAACAACCGAGCGTGGCTTTTTTTTTTATCTCTTTGGTTTACTGCTTTGATTTGCCCCCTCTTTCCCCTGTCGGCGTCATTTATTAGACGGGACCCGCGGCTTTGGTTAGAAAGATTTATACTCGTATGCGTCCGTGTAGCCTATCTAGCAGATGTGCAGGGTCTGGTCGTGTAATTTACTGTCTATTCTTCCCCTGCTGTGTGTCCGACTGTCGTAGGTCATCAACGTGTTTGTGTGTTTGTACATTGGCAGAGTGCTCATATGTTTTCTTCTTGTCCAATCTCCAAAATTCGGGTAGAAGAGAAAATGAATTTTCTTTCCACTCACTACCCTTCACCACTCACTACCCTTCACCACTCACTACCCTTCACCACTCACTACCCTTCACCACTCCCGTGTTATACGTTTGTTTTTACGCTGGCGTGTGTAATCCTTAATCATTATTTGTCGTCCTTGCATGGTGGATTGGATTAATGAATGAATCAAGAAAAAGAAAGAAAAAATGATGACATGAATTTACGGGGGTCGAATGCCACAAGGGGAAAGGTTATTCCAACGCCGGAATGTGTAGCCTTAGGCATACCTCTAGCAAACATCGAATAACCTACCTTGATGCGTTGAATCATAGCATAGATGGAAAAACCAATGCAACGATCATTGCTGTAGCAGATACTCCTTATAGAAGGATTTGATCTCACGTTATAGTTCAACACTATTGTGCTAAATGACGGATGTGTCCATAAGTGTAATAACCGACAGAGGGTTTATATGCACACGCCGTTGTGGGTTCTATCTGACCGACAGCTCGCAGCTCCACCCGGACATAAAAAAGCAACGTTCCGATTTCGTTTTCCGTCCACACCTCTAACTTATCCAGACTCCCCCTCTTCCGCTCGACAAAACCCCCCCTCCCCTTCCTCCCATTGTTTGTGAGAGCTGGACCTCTCCTATACTCTGTGCCATTCTTTCTTGGTTTCTTCTTTTCCGTATCCATTTTCTCAAACGCCATGGCCAGCTTCTATGAGAAATTTGTCGCCTTTGGCGTAGATAACGGTGAGAGCACGCGTGACATGAAAGAGAGAGAGATAAAGACACACAAGACTACATGAAGTATGTCGATTACATCCCGGGACATTGGACTGATTACTCCTCCTCCTCCTCCTCCTCCGATTCAGCCGGTCTCGAGAGGCTCCTCCGCCTCTTCCAGTCAGCATGCCTGATCCTGACGTCCTACCCGCCTCTGGTGGCTACGCTGCTGCCGTCGTCGTGGCCGTCGTCGTCTCACTTGGCAGTGGAGACGTCGCTCCGCCAGCTTCAGAGCCGCTTCAACATCACGCGCCGCTGGCTGCGGCTCTTCCGCTTCCTCGAGCCCCTCCAGGCCGGGTGGCGGTTGTACCGCGCCGAGAACAAGACGCTCGAGATGTGGGTGGACGCCCATGCCAAGACGTGCTTCGGCATGTTCGGTCTGCTCGAGTCCGTCACCCTCTTCGACCTGATCGACGTCGACCACCTGGAGATCTGGGGCCGCGAGATGGCCGTGCAGATCAACGTCGACGCCCAGAGGTTCTGGTTCATCGCTCTCTACCTGTCTGCCCTCAGCTCGGGCATCAAGCTCTTCCGCATCTTTAGCAGTAGCCGCAGCAAGCAGGAGCAGGCTGCCGAGGTCATCGAAGATGAGAAGGATGCCAAGCGCGACGACAAGCAGGGTGAGAAGCTCTCGGTGGAGGAAAAGGTTAAGGAGGAGAGGAAGCGCCGCAAGCAGGAACTCGCCAAGATCAACCAGATGACCACCCAGCATGGTCTTGACCTGCTCGCCAGTCTGCTCGATCTCGTCATCCCGGCTTCGATCCTCGGATGGGTCGATGTGGCACCTATACTTGTCGGCCTGGCCATGTTCACCACCTCCATCATCACTGGTGCTGCCGTGTGGAAGAGGAGCGCTCGTCAGCTGGAGCAACGCGCCTGAAACGTCCGATGACATGATTCCATTCCCTCTCTTACATTTCCCCGTCTGAATATCCATTTTTGTTTAAATTTTTTTTGTAAAAAAAAGATAGACTCTCTCGCCCCCCCCCCAAATTCTCATTTTTCCACGATAGATATAAGCATTCCATACTATATCACCAGAAAATTTGCGGCATGTTCCTCGTTTTATAGAAATTCCCTGACGCCTCGGTTCTTGTTCCTCGCATATTGATATTGCCATCATCGTCGTCCAGTCAGGACAAATCTGCCCGTCTCAACACGCATTTTCCACCCGTCCCGGAGAAGCGTCGCCGCAACGGCCTGTCTGAGTTGTGACACTCCGCTGGCGGTATGCTTTCCGATACCGGTGATGATGGTGAGCGGCTGCTCTTGGGCCCTCCTGGAGCGGAATTCGCCCAGCTCATCCCACCACTGGCGCGCCTTTTCCCGCGCTATGCGCGTACCGTCACGTACCGTCACGCCGTGCAGGTCGATGGACGTCTTGGTACTTGTCTGCCTAACCAGGAGATCGGCCGCTGCAGAGGTCAGCTGGTGCGCGTTGTTGGTGTGCTCTACGGCGCGCTCGCGGTAAACGATGGCCGCTTGCCTATATAGAGAGTTGGAGGCTCCGCGACGGTATAGCTGCGACGCATAGGCGGATGCTTCGCGCTTCGCTTGGTGGGAGATGCTGATGCGGCCTATAGTGCTTTCCAGGTCGGCCGGGCTGGCGGCAGATCTCGAGGGCTTTGCTGCTACTGCTGCTGCTCTGCCAGCTTTGCCAGAGATCGAGATCCGTGCGTCGCTGTTGCTGGCCGGCGACAGTGGCCCCATTGGGCCTTCTAGGTCCTCGTCTGGCAAGGGAGTGATGCGGTGGCTTAGGTCGAGGCGCTGAGTCCACGGGTTCTTGATAAAGTATCTGCTCAGGAGAGCGGCTATCTCGTTGCACGACAGCGGGTTGCCGGTGATTTGAAGGAGAGTGGACAGGTGACTTTCCGGGACGTTGGAGTATTCTGCGCTCAACTTCTTGACTTGCTCCCTCGCCTGCTCATCTTCGGATGTGATGCCTAGGGAAATGTATGTATCTATGATCTCGGCAGCGGCCGCCCCAGCGGAGCACTTTCTGCGGTAGTATACTTTGAGGACCTCATCAAACGGCATGTTCATCCGGTCTGAAAGAAAGGAAATCTCATCTTGGTCTAAGATTGGTGTTGGTAAGGATGAAAGGAAAAAATACACGTGTATGAAGCAGTCGGGTCCGTGACTCACGCTTAAGTTCCTTGGCCTGGCTCTTCTCAAGGACTTCTTTGCTAGTTGAGTCGACGGCAGACTCTGGCGTATTTGAGATTGGCCTTTTTCCCTTCTTACTCTTCTTCTTCTTCCCTTTGGCCGGACCGGCCGTCGTATCGTCGGGCTGGAAAAAGGCGTCTATGCCTCGTTGCTGCTGCCCGGTCGACTGCAGAAACTGGATATTGAGCAGGTCATCCAGTGCCGACTGGAAATCCCCGTTTGCCTTCTTCAGGGCATGTTTTACATCGTATTCTTTGAGTTCACTAAACATGTCCCACAGGATGACGAACTTGAACTTGTCGCTGTAGTCGTTGAAGGTAGTGAGCCTCGGGACGGCCGAGGCCGAATCGGCCGGGGTGGATGATGTGTCGGTACTCGACGACACCGTCGTCCTCCTGGCACGGGAGGCCTGACGACTGGCGCTCGTCGTAGAGGTGCTCAGGTCATCGTCGCGAGAGGGGTCCATCTCTTCCTCCGCGCCATCGTACCCATGGCCACTCGGATCGAACCCTGTTGCCTCTTCGAATACCACATTCTGCGACAAGTCTTTGAGCGTATCCTCTGCTGCCTTGTATCCGAAAAAGGTGTCCAGGTCGTAGTCGCCTGCAATAGCAACTACGACGGTGTCATCGAGCAGAGTACGGAAGGACTCCTGCGACAGAGGACATTGTTTAGCACGTGTTCACCTTTTAATATTGGGAGAATCCCTCCCCTGCAACCATGGCTCATCAGGCATGACTACCCAGCAGTATAACGGTGTCTCTGCTTCTGTTGACAATGCAATGGCCTTTAAATGAGGGGATCGGGACTGACCACTAATCTTTCCAATGGGTCGCCATCTTTATGAGCCATGGCGTGTCTTCTTCTGATATATGGCTTCCCGTTGCGTGATATGGACGGGTAGGGGGTGTATCAAGTTGGGCCCATCAAGCCCTGGTTCCATACATTGGTGAGGGCATGTGGGCTGCGCCATACGTCGAAAGGTAGGTAGAGAGGGTTATATACGGTGAAGTCCAACATATAGAGTCTTTCCTTGAGTGAACAAGTCTTGCGTCCGACAAGAAAACACAGTCAAGCTCCAGGCAAACTCTCATCCGTTCTTGTATGCTCCGCTGACGACTCTTCGTTGGGCACTGGTTGGTAGATGTAAAGAGCGACTAGTCACGTGCCAGGACGAGAATGGACTTTTATCTCACGAGCGGTAGTATCAACTAGTGATTGATCTGCGAGGATGGAGAGTTGCTTTTGGATCGATACAGAATCATTGTTTGTTTACATCCTGATTTTAGCCTTTTGTCCTTCTGAGCATCAAATAGACTAATGCGTACCAAAAATGAATAAGGATTATTCACAGCCGCAAGCTGCAAGCAGAACAAGGTTTGGTGGTGACGACTTGTTTTATATCACGTGAACGAACCTGTGCCTAAGGCGTGGACTGGTTGGGCGCCCCGGGCGCCTAGACCGCTACTATCTCTGCCGCTGCGCCTGCTACATGAGGTGGCAGCACGCCGCGTGGTGGCCGTGGAGGCGGCAGGGCTCATAGAGGTACCTAATAGTTAGTTTACTTTACATATAAAATCCGTGTGCATGCTAGAATGCGTTGATCGCGATTACACAATTTAGCTCCCCGCGCTCAACTAGAGCAGTACTATCCATATTTCGTATAATCTGTAGTAATCTGTACATGTATAATAATATTCCATATCAATATACAGATTAGTATTAGTACATGTACAGAACAGGAAAGAAGATACCGCAAATTGTAAAAATGTGGACCACACCTCTATGTGACTAATCCTACTATTGATCCCATCGCAGAAGAGGGCATAGACTGGCGTCACACGATTGACCGAGTATTCTTCCGGGGTTGCTCCTGCCTACTCGTTTTGCTACATTCCATCCTCAAGTGTTGATGCCGTACGGGGGCCTGACACTATTCGCAAACACCCGTTCTTTTTCTCATCGAAACATCAACTTTGCTTCGACCTGACCGCATATTTTCGGTCATTATCCATCGAGGACTGACTTAGCCGGTCTGACCTACGAGCTTGTCGCTGCGCTACGGCCGCATCATCTAAAGTCATGCGTCATCGAGCCGTAGCTTGGCTGACCGGAGCCACGATGCTGGTGCTGGCATCAGCAGCCGACTCGACACCGTATACCCCCAAGCATGAGCCCGGTCGCTGCGCCTTCCGAGGCCAATGTGGAAAGGCCAGTCTTTTTGGCAAAGAACTGCCTTGTGTCGACAATGACCTCGCCGAGGATCCCGAAGAGGAGCTCCGAAAAGAGCTTGTTGACCTCTGTGGCAGCAAGTGGGAGACTGGCCCTGTATGCTGCACTCTAGACCAGGTAGGCAATTTCTCTTCCGATTGTTTCTTTTTCTTCTCAACCTCAGTTTTGATGGGCCGACGCTGACTTGCCCTGACCCCCCTCCCAGGTGAAAGCACTCAAGTCCGAACTCGGAACCCCCAACACCCTTATCGGATCGTGTCCAGCCTGCAAGGACAACTTTTTCAACACATTCTGCACGTTTACCTGCTCGCCCGACCAATCTACCTTCATCAATGTCACCGACTCGACAGAAAAGAGCGGCAAGCAACTCGTCGCGGAGGTTGATCAGCTTATTTCCGAAAAATATGGGTCGGGATTCTACAACAGTTGCAAGGAAGTCAAGTTTGGAGGAGCCAACAGCAAGGCCATGGACCTTATCGGTGGCGGTGCCACCAACTATCATGAGCTCCTGAAATTCCTGGGCGACAAGAAGCCGCTTGTCGGGTCGCCCTTCCAGATCAACTTCCCGGCCAACTATTCGGACGAGAACATGCACCCGGTAGACATGACGCCTAAGAAGTGCAACGATGAGGACCCTGACTATCGTTGCGTTTGCGTCGATTGTCCCGATGTGTGTCCCGAGCTTCCTGTCGTCAAAGATGCGAGCTCGTGCCATGTCGGCGCTCTCCCCTGTCTCTCATTCGCCTCCATCTTCACCTACTCAGTTCTCTTATTCTCATTCATCTCTCTTGCCTTCGGCCGCAGCGCATGGAAGCGCTACGCACGCGACCGGGTGGAGCGGACCAGGCTTCTTCATGAGTCCTCGCACAGTGACGACGAGGACGAGGGTGGTCCGGTGCAGACTGAGGCTATGCGTGATCGTCCCACGAAGCGCTATAGCCTCAATGACCAGTGCGACAAAGCTTTCGGTAAACTTGGTCATACGGCTGCCCGCTTTCCAGCAATTACTATAAGCGTCTCCCTAGTTTTGGTCGCTATCCTCAGTGCCGGCTGGATCAGATTCGACCTGGAACAGGATCCTGCTCGTCTCTGGGTCAGCCCGACCTCTGAGGCAGCCAAGGAGAAGGCCTACTTTGATTCCAACTTCGGCCCCTTTTACCGTGCCGAGAAAATCTTCCTCGTCAACGACACACAGCCTTCTGGACCCGGACCAGTTCTCAGCTACGAGACCTTGAAGTGGTGGATGGACGTTGAGAAAAGTATCGAGCGGCTGGAAAGCCCTGTTTTTGGCGAGCAGCTGCAGGATGTCTGCTTCAAGCCAGTGGACAATGCTTGCGTCGTTCAGTCTGCAACAGCCTACTGGTACGCGAAGGGTGGTCTAGACCCCAACTACTGGAAGGAAGACCTCCGGGACTGCGCAAAGACCCCCGTCGACTGCCGGCCTGCCTTTGGCCAACCGATTGACCCCGCCATGGTCCTCGGAGGCTACGGTGACGATGTTACTGACGCGAAAGCTCTCACTGTCACCTGGGTTGTGAAGAACGCAAAGGAGGGTACCAGTGCCCTGGCTCGTGCGGTCGATTGGGAGAATGCTCTCCGTGACCGGCTTCTGGAAGTCCAGCAGGAGGCTACAGAGCGTGGTCTGCGCCTTTCTTTCAACACTGAGATCAGCCTGGAGCAGGAACTCAACAAGTCGACAAACACGGATGCCAAGATTATCGTCATCAGCTACATCGTCATGTTTGTCTACGCCTGCATGGCATTGGGAACCCCTCTCAAGCACGTATTCAGGAACCCGGCTGTACTCCTTGTCGAGTCTAAGGTCACACTGGGTCTAGTCGGTATACTCATCGTCCTCATGTCGATCGCTGCGTCGATCGGATTTTTCTCGTGGGTCGGTCTAAAGGCAACGCTCATCATTGTGGAGGTGATTCCCTTCATCGTTCTCGCTGTCGGTGTCGACAACATCTTCCTCATTGTCCACGAGCTCGACAGAGTCAATGCCAGCTGCCCTGACCAGATGGTTGAGGAGCGTGTCTCCAAGGCTTTGGGTCGGATGGGACCGTCCATCCTGTTTTCTGCCTTGACCGAGACCGTGGCCTTTTCCGTCGGCGCCGCTGTCGGAATGCCTGCCGTCAGGAACTTTGCCGCCTATGCTGCCGGAGCTGTGTTTGTCAATGCCATCCTCCAGATGACCATGTTCATTTCCTTCCTGTCTCTGAACCAGATGCGAGTTGAAGACCACCGATGCGAGCTTTGGCCGTGGTGGCAGATTAAGAAAGCGCGCATCCATCTCGACGATGCCAACGGGTACGTTGGTGGAAGGGTCGATGTCCAGGAGGAGAGCTACCTCCAAATTTTCATCAAGAATACGTACGCACCGGCGCTTTTGACGAAGAAGGTCAAGACGGCTGTCTTTGCTGTCTTCCTAGGCCTCTTTGCCGCCGCCATCGCACTCCTTCCCGGTATTGAGCTGGGCCTTGACCAGCGTGTTGCCATTCCCGATGGCTCCTACCTGATCCCCTACTTCAACGACCTCTACGACTACCTCGAGATTGGCCCTCCCGTCTATTTTGTGACGAGAGGAGTGGATGCGTCAAAGCGGGAGGCGCAACAGGAACTCTGCTCCAGGTTCACATCGTGCGACTCTTTCTCCCTTACAAATACGCTCGAGCTCGAGAGGCAGCGCCCGGATGTCTCGTTCATCGCATCTCCGACTGCTAGCTGGATCGACGACTTCTTCATGTGGCTGAACCCGATTTACGACCAGTGCTGCACGGAGGAGGGAGCTACTTGTTTCGCTGGCCGGAACCCCCCCTGGAACACTACTCTCTACGGAATGCCCGAGGATGAGGAGTTCATCCACTACCTTCAACTGTTCCTCACGGCGGCGACGGATGATGTGTGCCCGCTCGGTGGACAAGCTCCGTACGGAGATGCCGTGGTGCTCTCCGAAGACTACCAAAAGGTGAAGGCGACCAATTTCCGGACGGCTCATACGCCGCTGAGGAGTCAGAAGGACTTTATCGACGCTTACTCCACCGCGCGTCGTATCGCATCAGAGATCAGCGACAGCACTGGTGCCGACGTCTTCCCGTACAGCATCTTCTACATCTTTTTCGACCAGTATCTGGACATTGTTGGCCTCACGGCCGGACTGCTGTGCGGAGTGGTCGGCATCATCTTCGTGGTGGCGTCGGTCCTCCTCGGATCCGTCATGACCTCAGCCGTGGTGACGGTGACGGTCATCATGAGTGTCGTGGATATCATGGGCGCCATGTCGGTGTTTGGGGTGTCGCTCAATGCCGTATCCCTGGTCAACCTCATCATCTGCGTGGGCATCTCGGTCGAGTTCTGCGCCCACATCGCTCGCGCGTACATGTTCCCTTCGCGGACGGTGATGCAGAGCAACAACAATGGATTCCGTGGCCGCGACGCCCGGGCCTGGACTGCCCTGGTCAACGTCGGAGGGTCCGTATTCTCGGGCATCACGGTGACCAAACTCCTCGGCGTTTGTGTACTGGCCTTCACGCGGTCCAAGATCTTTGAGATCTACTACTTCCGCGTGTGGCTGGCGCTAGTCATCTTTGCTGCCATCCACGCTCTCATCTTCCTTCCTGTGGCGCTGAGCGTTGCCGGAGGCCAGGGATACATCGACCCTGAGAGCGAGGGCACGGCGGCGCAAGACCTGACGGACCGGAGGTGGCGTGCGCTCAGGATGAATGATCATGACGACTCGGACTATGAAGATTAACGGTAGTCGGGAACTGTGCGCTAGGGTGATGCCGCTCTATGGCGGCAGTTGTAACCTTTGTTTTCTATGACCAGACAGCATTTGGGGGATTTTCGTTTTCGAGTTTGACATTGGGTATTGACTGGGATTTCACAGGTTGGCGAAATTGAGTGGGACTGGTTCTTTTGTCACCAAGGGAACATGACAGCATTGCTTTTCCTTGTATGCTCGGGAATATCTGGTGTACATGTGCTGCAGTGTTGCTACTAGTATCTACATGTATAATAATCTACCTCGCCGTGGAGGCCTTGTTGATCCGACTAATCAACACTTTTTTTCTCTTCTCTTCTTCACAGTTTTTTGTACAATGCCTCCCCCCCTAAGCCGGCGGCAGAAACGATGCAAACAGACAAGCCTGAATACCAGCATACATGACAAAGAAGATGACGACGCCAGAGCCGAAGCTGCCATCGCCACTGTTACCACGCTGGCTGAGGACCCAGGCAGCAATCCACCAGTACCAGACGACGTACCCCGACGACAGCCTATTGACGATCTGCACGTGGTAGTTCGTAATGGCCAGCAGGGCGACGAAGGCCTGGGTGCCTGCCAGCGCACGCACGAAAAGTCTCCGCTGGGCGTCACCGGCAGCAGGGACGAGGGGCAGGACCCATCTCGGGTTCTGGGAAACCTGGAGTCCCGAGACGATGAGGAGGGCCAGCACGGGGGAGGCGAGGACGAAGAGGGGGATCTGATTCGAGGTCCAGTAGCGAAGAAAGCCGACGTTCCTTTTGAGACGTCAGCATATGCGGCGATGTAGAGAAGAGAAAAGGGAAGGTTGAGGTGGAGAGAGAAGAGGAAGAGACGGCGTACCAGTAGTACTCCTGGACAAAGCCGTATATACTAGGTACAGTCTTTGCGCACCAGGGGCGGAGGGGCCGGGCGTCGACGGCGTCAGAGCAGTACCGCACCCACGCGGCAAGCTGGGGTGCTGCACCGCCCGCTGCGACACAGAGACCACCGATGATGGGACCTATGAGGGCCCCGACAGCAGGCAGGCTGGGTCTGCCGAGAAGGACTGCAGCGCAACGCAGCGCCTCGACGGCAAACAGCAGGCCGCTGCCGAGTCCGTTGCTGCGAAACACGGTGGCCAGGCCAAACAGGGCGCCCGCACCGACGATGTAGGCCCCGCGCGTGACGCCCCCCTTGCTGTACGCCGTGGCAAAGGCCCAGTTTCCTAGGAATGTGAGGCACGAGTAGGTGCTCTCCGCGTAAGGCGCGGACAGGAACAATCCCGCCGGGGAGATGACGTGCAGCGCCGCCGCGACTAGGGCGAGGCGTCTATTGCGCGACACGACGACGGTGAAGTGGTACAGTGCCAGGACTCCGATGAGATGGGAGACATTGGCCACGAGGATGGCGACGAGAGGTTCCCATCCTGCTGCGACGGCCCGCTCTGAAGACGAGGAGGAGGAGGAAGAGGTTGGAGGTGTCAGGAAGAATGATACCAGACCGGAGAGACCGTGGCCAAAGGCCCATTCCTGCTCGTACACCTTACCCCCGCCGGCGGAGGCGTGGATGAAGTACAGGGCATCCCAACGGGTGAGACGGTGGGAGAGTGAGATGGGCGAGGGCGCTGAGGAGGAGTAGAGGCGCGTCAGGAAGAGGGAGGTAGATGTGTCGTAGTCGGGAGCTACGGATGAGAATAGAGCTATAGAGAAGAGAAAGACCTTCCAGCTTGCGAATAGAGCTGTGAGCGAGCGTATTGGACTCTGTATGTCGAGGATCATTGTGAAGGTGGAGGAGGAGGACGTGGTGGCGGTGATGTTGATTGGATTGAAGACTTGAAGGGGAGGGGGGGGGGGGGGGGATGTGTTGTGTGTGGGTCGTGGTTCGCCGTGGGTTCAATTGATTTGCACGTGGCTGAACGGATGTCACGGTTGAGTCAAGACGGATATCTGTTCCGGTAGACCTCGAGCTGTGTACCTGGAGTGAATTGTCTATGAATTAATTTATGTAGTGCGTGGTCGCATCATCGATCCTCCGCATGACCTGCGTGCGTTCCGTGATGCGACCCTTTCAGTGTGGGTTGGTGTTTTGACTCATGAGCCCTGAACAGCTCCTGGTGAGATCTAAACCTGCCGTCTCCACCATCACAACCACAACCACAACCCGTCGAGCAGGAGAGAATAAGAGAGAGGGGAAGGGAAAGAATTCCCGGAAGATGATGACATCTCTCTCGGAAAAGGGCCATCATGGAGTCACCATTCCCCGCACCCATCGTCATCCCTCCTAAGCAAGATGGCCCCCATACATCGACAATCATCTTCCTCCACGGCCGCGGTCAGACAGCAGCCCTCTTCCACGCTCCCTTCCTCTGCGACACCCCCATCCCGGACCATCCCGCCGCGTCTCCGTCGCTGCGCGAGGCCCTCCCCACTACCAAGTTCGTCTTTCCAACCGCTCCGCTCTCCCGTGCAAGCAAGTATCGCCGATCCGTGATCCGGCAGTGGTACGACGGCAGCGGGGATTGGGAGCCCGAGGCGCTGGGTGGCATGCACGGAAGCGTAGAGCACGTGCACTCCCTCGTCCGTGCCGAGGTGTCCATCCTCAACGGGGATGCTTCCCGGGTGGTGCTGGGAGGCTACAGCCAGGGATGTGCCATGGCGCTGACGAGCTTGCTGCTATGGGGGGGTGCATCTCTGGGAGGAGCGGTCGGGCTTTCGGGGTTCATCCCGCTGAACGCGTGCATGACGAGCATCCTCGACGACGAGGGCGGTGACGGTAGCGATGATGTCGTGTTTGCATCCGATTCTGATGACGGCAATGGAGATGACCCGCTGAGGCAGGCTGTCCGGGCTCTGAGGGAGGAGGCAGAGTTGCCGGAGTCGGAGTCTCCGCTTAGTTTTCTGCGTACGCCGGTCTTCATCGGCCATGGGACGGAGGACTGCACGGTCGATGTCTACCATGCACGCATGTCGGCTGCGCTGCTGGAGAAGATGGGTCTCGCTGTGCGACTGAGCGTGTACGAGGGGCTGGGACACGGATACTCATCTATCGAGCTAGGCGACATGGTGTCGTTTCTCAAACAGTCGCGGTGTGTCTGACGTGTGTTGTTTTTGAAATAAAAATTTTAAAAAGAAAATTATATCCATCCAACTATAGTCTGCATATCTTACATGCGGGCTCAAACCTGGTCACCCGTGAGGATGGGTTTCGCCTCGTCGGTTGTCCACCAGCTCACACCCTCCTTCCCGGGATAGGTGTAGCGATCCATGCTATCCGGCTTCATCTCAACGCTGTAACCGGGCTCCGTGGGCGTCTGGTAGTAGCCGTCTCTGATGACGGACGGATGCAGGAAGTGTTCGTGCAGGTGGTCCACGTACTCGAGGAGAGACTTCTTCCCGCTGACGACGACATAGTCGATGGTGCTGAGATGCTGCGTGTACTCTGGCAGGCCGACGCCACCGGAGTGCGGCACGACGGGGACGCCAAACTTCTTGGCGATGAGCAGGACGGCGAGCACCTCGTTCACGCCGCCGAGGCGGCAGGCGTCGATCTGGCAGAAGTCGATGGCGCCGGAGACGATGAGCTGCTTGAAGACGACGCGGTTCTGGCACATCTCGCCGGTGGCCACGCCGATGCCGTAGGGCCGGAGGGCGTCGCGCACGGCCTTGTGGCCGAGGATGTCGTCGGGCGACGTGGGCTCCTCGATGAACCAGGGCTTGAAGTCGCGCAGCTGGGTCATGTACTCGACGGCCTCGGGGACGGACCAGACCTGGTTCGCGTCGACCATGAGGACGTTGCCCCTATCGTAGCCGATGACGTCGCGGGCGATGGTCAGCCGGCGCCGGTCCTCGGCCACGCTGCCCCCGACCTTGAGCTTGAAGTGGCGGTAGCCCTGGGCCAGGGTCTCGCGCAGCAGGGAGCGCATCCTATCCTCCCCGTAGCCCAGCCAGCCGGCGCTGGTGGTGTAGGCCGGCACGGCCCTGCTGTCCAGGGCGTCCTGGATGCGCGCCGGCTTGGTGGGTTCCTGCTCGCGCAGCAGGGCGACGGCCTCTTCCGGCGTGATGGCGTCGGTGATGTAGCGGAAGTCGATGCAGCGCACCAGCTCCTCGGGCGTCATGTCGGCCACGATACGCCAGACCGGCTTGCCCAGCACCTTGGCCCACAGGTCCCACACGGCGTTGACCACGGCCCCGAGCGCCAGGTGGATCACGCCCTTCTCCGGCCCGATCCACCGCAGCTGGCTGTCATTGACGAGGTGGCGCCACGTCTTGCCCCAGTCCGCCACGAGGGATGACAGGGTGCGACCCTTCAGACGTCCGGCTACGTGAACTATGGCGTCACATACGATGTCGTTGCCACGGCCGATGGTGAATGTCTAAAAAATTTTTTTAAAAAAAATCATCACGTTAAAAAGAAAAGAAAAAAGGTTAACGGGAGGGGGGGAGAGGATAGCGGGGACGACTTGGAATACCATTCCGTGACCGGTGTAGTCCGAGTCAGTCTTGAGGATGCAGTAGGCGGATGAGTAGTCGCCTGCTGCGTTCATGGCATCGGACCCTGTCTTGTCCAGGGATGTGGGGAAGCGAACATCTCGAGTGATGAAGTCTGTGATTGTGATTTCAGTCATGATGAAAGGGGGGGTAGATGGAGCGAGATGGAGAGAGATGGACAAGGAGAAGAGGAGGGAGGAGAAGAGGGAGATGATGAAGAAAAGAAGAAGGGGAAGATGTAAGAGGAATAATAAAGAAGCAAGAGAGAACCAAAAAAAAAAAAAAAAACACCTCGTGGTCTTTATCATCCCGACTCAACCGGGTATTCAAACCGAACGGACCTGGCCAGAGGTGGATCCCGAGATCGGTGGGCGGGCCGGATATTCTGACGCCATGGTTGGTGGAGAAACTGGTGAGGGGGTGACGGGAGTTCATGATTAAAAACCCGTCGGCTCGGAGGGTTTTTTTTTCGGGGTTGGGGTTGGGGTTGGGGTTGGGTTGGTCTTGTCTCTTTTGGCTGTGATATTATCTACTATCAGATTACAGCTTGTCTGTATTGTTCTTCCAAACTCGATGATCTAGGCCAAACAACCGGTGCAGTTTCGGGAATACCAATACAGGAACAACCCCGCGATGCCCCTCCCCCCGCTTGCCCGGTGGTTGCTGTCCCGCAACGCTGGACTGGGTGAGGTGAGGCTTCCTCTGGGGTTAGGGTCTGTGAAAGACCGGGAACTTGATGTCAGATCGGCAGCATCTAGAAGAAGAGGCAAGGGATCACGGGCTGCTGTTGCTATCCTCTCGATCAAGAATATAGGAGTACAAACTCTCGTAATGCAACTACAAGGATAAAGTGTTGGTGTGGCCGTCATCTCCTAAACACGCATCTGTTGATGGCTATACTTCATACTTCACGTGCAAGAGCTTTTGAGTTGAAATGTAGGGTAAAGGTTGTGTGTGTTTTGACGCACTCGTATGACTGTGGTGAAGTCAAGATGTGTTCTGCTTACTTGTTCCATCTTGATAAAGAGGAAGTAAACCTACTGTGGCAATGACGGAAAAGAGTCATTGTTAGCCTTTGAAGATGGACATGATGACCGCCAATCATTCCCATCTCATCGAATGGGAGCGTCACACTTGACGGGTAGAGTTAATATACGGGAGAGTAGGCAGGTAAGATCAGAGAAAGAGAGAGAGAGAGAGAGGCTTTGACAGAGATGAACCATGTACTCTATACTCTATACTCTACCATGGTAAATGCTTCCCATCATGATTAAACATTACCCGGAAGAACCATATGGTTTGAGGGTGGTCCAGATACCGTGAAACAGGTATACAGGTATATAAACCAACCCCCCCCCCCGGTGCTAAGACTAGGATTCTCCTCCCTCCACCTCCCTTCCCTCCTACAACCTCCCTTCTGGGAGGAGGGAGGTCGCAGGGGTCTCATGTATTCTAGACACCCCGGTAAACAGCCGCCGGGGTATGGGATCTCATAGGAGTCCCGCATGGAATAGGTGGTCGACTTGCCCGAAGTTTGCATCCGGGCCCAAGTCCCACGGAACGCTGACCGAGCGGAGAGGCAGGGTGAGACCGAGACGTCGATCAGACCCGAGGCCTAGGTCTGCATCGGCCCTCGTCATCCCCCATCTGCACCTCTCTCCATCGAGAGGCCTCCGCCCATCCGTCCGACCTCGGGTCCAGCAAGGGAGTGCTCCATGGTCCGTCAGATCAGACCACCCATCACCTCAATGTTGGATGTGAGACATGTCGTACATGTGAAATCTCACCCTCTCCCTCGCGCCGACTCACACGAACCTGTTGCCGTCCTGCCAAGCTCCCGCAACATGCTCAACACTGCCATGGCTCATGCTGTTGAAACATGACGGCGGCGGCAGTGACACCGGGGGGGGTTGGGGCCGGCTGCAGCCTCAAAAGGTGGTCCAGATCGTCTCCTTCTCCAGATTCCCTCCGCGAGGCTGACCCGGTGGTGGGCCGGTGGGCGTGGGTGGCATCACGCTTGCCGCCACTGCAAACCGTGATAGCTCGCGGTCGGTCTTCTTCCACTCACTCTAAAAAACCCGAGTCTCGCTCGGAAACGGTACCGGTTCCACCTGCCTTGGATGGGTTGAAGTCATGCAACGCCGAGATAGACCTCGAATCTCGGCCTCTGCTCCTTCAGGAACCAAAAAAAAGGTATGGCCAGAGGCTGGGCTTCCGTCGTCAAAAGGTCTACGACGATCTCGAGGGAAGGGACGAGGTCCGATCTCTGATCAGAAATCACCCCATTCGGGAGATTGACAATCCCCTGCTGGACGCGGGCAGCCAGACCCCGCAGGTCAAGGCGGCCATTGTCCTACCCGCCCCCATCATCTGCGGCAAGGTAGACGGCCCGGTGTATGAGACCAGCATCTAGATGCCGTCGCTCGCCCGCATCACCCTAGATAGGGGTCACAGGGTGAGAGTGGGGGCCGGCGAGAGCCGCTAGGGTCACGTCCTCGAAGCAGACGCTGCGCGCACCTTCACCAGAACTGGCAGAGGCTACGGCTGCCGGTAGGGACGACGCGTCGCCATGGAACGACGACGGCCTCTACCTTGCGAGCACTGGCGACGTACTAAGCCAAAATCTCAGTCTTCCTGTGCCATCCGAGCCTATCGTGGACTGATGCGAGCGTGACTTTCTCCCCCCCCCCCCCCTCTCTTTTCACCACCTAGAGCTTGGCCCACCTCTCCGACTTGGTCGTCGAGGCCGCTTCGGTCAAGGGCCTCATCGAGAGAACCGACATCTAGGTGCCGTCAAAGGAGGAGGAATCCGCCAAGGGTACTTCCCAGCGGGCCCGTCTTCTTCGGCTCTAACGCCAGAGGTATCGCCAGCCGAGCAAAGGAACTCCTAGTTGGAAGAAGACGGAGCACGGTATAGAAAAGGAGATCTCGTCGGGAAGGCAGGTTTGAGGCGGAAGTGTGGACTGAACCAAAGACTGGGAGAGTGGAGATGTCACATGCACCGCGTTGGTCTGACGGCAATGTGCAACGATGACTACGACAATGACGACGATGACGACGACGACGACGACGACGACGACGACGAAGCCGAAGACGAAGACGACGAAGACGAAGACGAAGATCAAGACCAGGACGATGACGAAGCTACTGGGTGTACGTAGTATACCCAGTCAAACTCGAGCTCTCAAAAGGGCATACCCAGCAATGTTTTTACCTAGATGGATAGGCGGTGTTTACATAGCACGACAAACGTGCTTCACGGGTCCGGTTCACATGAGGGCAATATTATGCATGCATCTGGAGGGATGGGAGAGAAGTGGTAGGGGACGGGAGGGGAGGATGGGCAGGGCAGTGAGGGCGTCCTACCAAGACTTGAACTCTACGGCTCCTTCAAGGGGCTGTGGACCGAATACGACAGCTGAGCCCCCTCACTGCAGGTCGCATCAGATGGGAGCTTTGGGAGTTTGGGGAACGGAAACGTTGTCTTGTATACGGATGTCTGTCCATGTTGATGAGGAGTCTTGAATAAATCCCTCCCCCCCCCCCCCAATGATGGTAGAATGACGAGCACAAGGTGATGACATTTGACAAGATAACAAGATAAACCGAATGGTTGGCGTATGGGAGAAGAGCAAGGGATTTCTTGTTCGGCATTTACGTGGTAGGACACACGGTGTTCTGAGTATTTATTATATAAACGTACACGTAATTTCCTTCATACGAGAAAGGATCTTTCCCTCTCAAAAGAGCCTGTCTGTTCTCCCCTCACAGGATGAGAAGTCTTCCCCTCCCCCCCTCTCTTCCCTTCCACAACACACGGAATTACCAGCAGCATCTAATAATAATCCGCACAAGCCATCTAATCGGTACGGAATAATCTGTCCCTACCGGCGACGGGAGACGGACGGGAACTACGAGACTACGGGTACATTACGAACCACCAACATGCGAGACCGCCCACACACGACAGCGGAGGGGGGGAAGGGGGGCGGGGGGGGGCGGCCGCCGATCTCCTGTGAGGTCCATCTTGTCTTGACGTAGTCCCTTCTTGACTCCATGGTCATCTTCTGTCTGGCTCGTATATATGTCGATAATCTCCCTCTCCCTCTCTCTCTAACACGAAAGCGGCAAGTAACAGCATGCATGACTGGGTGCGAGTGTGAGAGTGTGTGAGTGTGTGAGTGTGTGAGTGTGTGAGTATGTGAGTATGTATAAATATATGTATACTACAGTATAGTACATATACTGCATATAGTACATATACTATATATAGTACATATACTATATATACTATATACACTACACTCGTGGCGGCACATTACTGTTACTACTGCCGATGCTGGTGCCGGTAACATACGGAAATGTCATTCTGCAAGGGGTTGATGGATGTGAAAGGAGAGGTTAGCAGGCAGGATAGGAGGGGGGATAATGGAAAGACCCGGGGAGGGGCAAGAACGAAGAGAGAGACATTGACGTATGGAAGGGAGAAGACAAGAGGTGAGAATATGGATTGATTGAAATTGATAGAAGGGATAGAAGAAGGGCGATGATACCGTCATCATCGCCAGGGTCTCGGTAGGGGTTTCTGCCAAAGTGAGAGACACAAGAAGAGGTGGGCAAGGTGGTAGTGAGCAGTATTGGGTCTCATCGATAAACCGTCATGGTAACCTGGTTTCTGCCCGCTTCTGTGTGTATTATTTTCATGTTGTCTGTGCGTTGAGAAGGAAGAAAAGAACAGAAAAGAAGGAAAGAGAGAGAGAGAGAGAAACAGTTGGTCGGTGTGGTCGCGCGGCATTTAGCTGAGTAATCAGCTGTCTCAGTGGGTATTTAGCTGCGCTTGGCATAGTGATGATAGACTATAATAGTGCATCCGTCTAGTGGGTAATGCACTAGATAGTAGACACCAGGTAGAGAGAGATCCCCAGCCATGAGAGACGGTCCATGTATGATGGCCCGCGAGGGGGGGGGGGGGGGGGGGGGGGGGGGGCGGAAGGGTATCGCCCTACCCGATCCCCGTCGCCCCGTGGGCTCCATCTTCCAGCAAGTGATCTGTATATCGATATTATATCGTATCATCATTACGAGGGCGAGCAAAGGCTGCCCCCCCCAAACCCTCCTCAACACAAACGGCACCCGGATGAATACTCCGGACGGGTAGGCAAAGCAGGGCGGGGATTGGATTGTCGATCTTGGGATCTCTGAGCTGGTCATGCGCATATGCAACGGGACATTTGATTACTCGCGATCATGACATGTATCGTGACTGATGTATTGTTACTACCGTCACCTACCTCTCGCGCGTGCAGGAGCCAGAGTTTGCTGTCAGATGTGAGAGGGGGTGGTGGGTTTGCTATCCCACCGTCTACAGCTACGACACACTCGGAGCTACGCCCGCAGGTAGCATCGTCAGCGATTGTCGGTATCACTACCAGCAGCATCAGCACTGGAGACGATGCAGGATCCGATACTGCAATGATACAATCTGTAGTCTGTACAGAGCACGGAGTATTACAGGTTAGCAAGCAGAATTTTTTTTTAATTTTTTTTAATTTTTTAATTTTTTTTTTACCTTTGTGGGCCCCTTGGTAGTGGGACGTGGCAAGGGTCACGGATCGCCACGACGGAGGCGTGTGCATGAGCCCGATGACGACGCTTTCTCTGAATGCCACCTCTGGCATCAACACCAGATAGTTTACTAGCTGTCAGCACCGTAGGCAGCAGCGTTGTTCCCAGTCATGACACCGAGAGTCGATACCGAGAGCGTCTACGGCTCGCCGGTAGCAGACTTGGTAGACTGCAATCCGCAATGCTCCGTAAGCGGGGCCTGGTAGTGCGGATAGGCCGACTAGCAGTTATATCAGGCGTGATGCCCTGCATCCCCGTCAAGGGTCGCTCACTCTTCCGTTCTGAATTGGATGAACAATATCTACTCTGCCAGCCCAGCGCGGGCACATGAGGCCATCGACCCTGCAAGGCTCCCCATTCCAGGCCGTAATATCTGACATTCTCTTGTCGGTATAATCTGTACAGATTGCTCCGTAGTCAATATCGGTATCATGATCATCATGATCATCATTGTTACTATGATTGTTATGATCATTACCACTACTACGAGTATTACGAGTATTGCATCTCCATATATGCGCATACTACACGACGTATGCATGTACTCGTACCTGTACAGTATCGATACCATCCATCCACTCCGTACAGGTTATATGGTGATGCCTTCCGATCAGGTGTGCATGGGGAGCAAGCAGTACTCGTGATGCTATCGTATCGATGAATGCTTTCATTTCTAATAACACTACAGCATCGCTCACGCATGTACCTAAAGCATATCGTTGCAGTGGGGGGACACAACGGCCGAGGCGCAGGCGCAGCACGCGTACCGGTATCGTTACCGCGCGAGTACAGGCACTGAACGTCGACAGCAATCACGGTCGCTACTGTTACTCAGCAGTACATGATAATCTGCATACACGATATCATTGTCGTCACTCCGTACTCGTACTCTGTACAGATCACATAGAGCATAGAGCAGAGCCACTCTATGCTGTATTGCATGATAATAATACGGGTAACTGCTGCTGACAGCTTGACGGTCATCATCCGTGGGAACAGGCTAGGATTTCCTGCCCGACGGAGAGACAGGAGACGTGGATGACGTGTTTGTGCAGAAGTCGCGGTGAGGCTTTCCCACAATATCATATCCTCCAAGACTGACGTGAAAATCAGTACGAGCAATACAGATTGTAACCTGTACATGTATCGATACTAATCTGTATACGGAGTACGGAGTACATGCACGACTATACGAGGCGGGGGGGGTACTTGGGTATCTACTCCCAGCACCAGGACAAGCCAGCTGGGAGCCGGAACAGGTACCGGTTCAGCCTGGAAATAAGCAATCTACTACGCTGTGTCATCGCTGACTCTTGGCTCTTGACTCTTGACTCTTGAGGTTTGAGGGCACAGCCTGTCCTGCATCCGTACGCATACTATTATTGCTGTTCGTATCCCGGCATCCATCCATTATTCGCTGCTGCAATATTCCTTCTCCCAACTCCAACTCCGAACACGCTCAGTGCTCAGTCCTACCGTGACTGACGTGAGTAGAAGAGAGAGTCTTCTCTGCACTGCTGCAATCTGGACCCGCTTGCGGTCGATTCGTCCATCGCCTTGCCTTCTCTGGTCCATTTGACACCATTGCTATCATCATACTCTGCATCGTATTTTTTTTTTTAAAAAAAATTATTTATTTATTTATCCTTTTTTTTTTTTGGCTCTTCTTTCTCTCTTACTTCTTCACCCTTTTTATTTTATTTTATTTCATCTGTTTTCTTCTTCTTCTTCTTCTTCTTCTCCTCCTCCTCCTACTCCTTCTTTCATCCTCCTCTCCCTCTTCTCCCATCTCTCTTTTTCCCTCTCTTTGTGTTTCTCCCGCCACCGCCATCACTACAAGTCATCACCCCTCACCACCCACACCATCCACTCATTCATCATTCCATCCATTCTTCCTTCTTCTATATCACCCGTCACCGGAACTATCCGCCACCCCGATTTATGACTAGCAGTACACCCATTCGGAGAGTCGACTGAGCCATCCGTCTCTCTGCGCCCGCCCCGACGTCCCATGGACCGCCGTACTGGGGAGAGGACAGAGACACGCCTCCTCCCTCCGGATTGTCCGATACTGGCCGCATCAGTCTAGGCTCTAGGCCCAGCAAGCCCGACGCCAGATGTCCCGGTCAGCAGCTCCCGCCACGTCGCCCGACGCCGCCGCCGCCGCCGCCGCCATGACGAAGCCCTTGCCTCACAGCCCGCTCACCGTCGGCCCTCGTGATGGCGGCAGCCCTGGCCATCATCAGATGCCCCCACCCCAGCAGGGACAAGACCAGCAAGACGGCCTTGCCTATGGCCTCGATGGATCGCCACCGATACTAGGCCTCACGAGGAGCCATGACCACGACAGAGAAGAAGGGGACAGAAGGCAGCCTCCCCCTCCTACCCTGCCACCAGAGGAATGCCGCGCCCCCGCCGCCGGTCCCAGCCTGCTGCGGCTCTGGCCGTCATCTCAGATCCCTGAGACGTGGCAGAGCATCGAGACATCACCACCGCCGCCGGCTTCGGGCCCAGCAGCGTCGCCCCCCACGCCCCCCACGCCAGCCCCGGCAGACGCCGCCAGCTCGCGCCGTTCCTCTACCGCCACCAGGAGACGCCTGCAGAAGCCGGCCCCGTCCTCCATCGCCTCCTCGTCCAACCGAGCCTCACACGCCACCGGCTCCGCAGCCGCCCCCTCGCCCACGCTGGAATGTGGAGGTGGGCCGGGTGGACCGACGCTAACGTCGACCCAGACAAGGGTCACCCCCGGTGACGTCGGCACCTGCCAGACCCCGGCTCAGCACCACCAGCCCTGCATTCCCGACCTGGGCGATTCAAAATGGAGCCAATACCTCGACTACACTGGGCTCGCCAACAACGACGGCAGCCAGGACCCCCACCATCGCCCTCATCCTCTACCCCTCCGACGTCAGACTTCCTCTGCCTCCTCATCGCACCGGTCGGCGCCCTCACCCAGGTCCGCCGAGACGCCTGCCGCCGTTGCGGACAGCAGCAAGACTCCCCAAGCCGGCCGCCCGAACCACGACTCGGCCATCTCCACACCCCCCTCACCATCTGCCGCCGCCGCCGTAGCCATGGAGAGACCGACGCGGCCGCCGCCCCCACCGCCTCCGCTGCCGGTTCACCACCGGCTCAGGAAGACGCTGTCCAAGCGCGGCTTCCTCTCCCCGTCTCTCAAGATCGGCCAGCTTGACGGGTCTGCCCCCCGAAGGAGGGAGATCCGCGTCATCAAGAAGAGAGCTAGCATCGAGCTCATAGCCGAGCAGTACCAGGCCGTCCTCGAGTCGAGAGACCGGAAAGAAGAGGAGGCAGCCGCCGCCGCCGGTGGTGATCTGGAGTACCCTGACGGCAGTCGGCCTACAATGACCGCAGACGGGCAGCAGAGGGGGCAGGACAGTACCACGCAAGAGAGCGGTCTTGCACTCGAGCGTCTGAAACCCACATGCTTCGACGCCGCCCAGGACACGCCGCCCCAGGACGGACAGGAAGTCGTCTTTGACCTGCCCATCCACGCCCCCGACGAGCCCGACCTGTCGCCGGCCTCGGACGGCACCTTCGTGGCCTTTGAAGAGGACGCCATATACTTCAAGCCCATCTCCTTCTCCACCACACTAGAGCCCTCTCCGTCGCCCGAGCGGCAGAGCTTCGAGGATGACAGGCCTCTTCCGCCGACGCCCACGTCCACGACGCACCACCAGCATCGGCAGCAGCAGAGGTCGAGGGCGCAGTCGCAGTCCGACCCGGGGAGCGCTCTGCAGACGTGCATTGCCATGCTGGTCCGGGAACTGACGTCGGCCATGCCGTCGCCGTCGCCGTCGCCGTCGCCGGCACTGCAGATAGGTGCCATGATCGAGGCGTACGAGAGACTGCGCGACCAGACGGAGACGACGGCGTCGTCCGGCTTGAGTGACGTTGAGCAGAGGAACGTCCGCTCCATGTTTGACTGCTGGCTTGCGGCGCTGCACACGATGCACAGGTCTTTTACGCGGAAGAGTGACGAGTCGGAACGTCTTCATCATCAGGAATTGATGCCCGAGGGGGTGGATTAGGTCTTTTCTCTTCTCTTCTCTCTCTCTCTCTCTCTCTCTCTCTCTCTCTCTCTCTCTCTCTCTCTCTCTCTCTTTCTCTCCTTTCTTTTTCTTCTTTCCTTTTCCTCTCTCCCTTTCCTTCTTTTCTCTGTCATTCCTCCTCCTCCTTCTTGTTCAATTTCGGTTCAAATCTCTTTTGTTATTACATCCGAGGAGCAGGCGTCTGGTTTTATAGGTACAAGGCGAATGAAGGGGAATGTACATTTTTACACGTATGGATGAATGATGATTGCATCGGTGCTCTTCTATTTGCTTCAAGGGATTTCGGATATCTTGTTTGAGAAGATTTTTTATTATTATCGTTTTCATTCTGGGAAGAATATATAGTTAATTTTTTTTAAGAAAAAGAAAGGAGCAATACATTGTCTGGTTGACAATAATGTTCTTCGCTCGAAAATCATATATATATATATATATATATTTCAACCTGATAGTGAATGTTATGTAGAAACTCATCCTGTTAATATAGTCTGACCCTGTCTAGAATGGCCTTAGTAAGGCACGAATTACGTAGGTCCCGTTTCTTAGCTACGACCGTGAATCCACCCTTCACCTCTTCACCACCCCCCAAGTCATCACCACACGAGATAATCACCTGTCGAGGTCGACACCTCCCAATAGAGTACACCTCCCAAGTCCACCTCTAGACCGCCACCTCAGAGAAGTCATGGACGAATTCATAGCAGACGACGACCTCCTAGAGGCCATGGCGGCCATCGAACCAACCCTACAACCGGCACCTCCACCGCGCAAAGTCCAACAGCCGACACCGCAACGACTCGACAGGGCACCACCGCCATCACTACCACCACCTCCTCCTGCTCCAAACACATCGTCCACACCCGCATCCACATCCGCATCCGCGTCCGCATCCGCGTCCGCATCCACGGCAGCAGGACCCAAGATAGTTCAACCGACGCCGCAAGCGCTCCCGCAGCGCAGCACGCCGTCCTCGGGCTCGACGATACTGGTATCGCCCCGGCAGCGTGGCAACCCGGTGGTGTCGTCGATCAAGTCGGTACCGTGGGAGTACAGCGACATACCGGCGGACTACGCGATGGGCCTGGGGACGTGCGCCCTGTTCCTCAGCCTGAGGTACCACCGCCTGCACCCGGAGTACATCTACACGCGGATCCGCAACCTGCAGGGGCGGTACAAGCTGCGGATCGTGCTCACCATGGTGGATATTGCCAACCACGAGGACCCGCTGCGCGAGCTCTCGACGGCGTCGCTGGTCAACGGCGTGACGCTGGTGTGCTGCTGGTCGGCCGCCGAGGCGGCGCGCTACCTCGAGCTGTACAAGTCGTACGAGCACGCCGGCTTCGCTGCCATCAGGGGCCAGCAGAGCACGGCGTACACGGATCGGCTGGTCGACTTCGTCACCGTGCCGCGCAGCCTGAACAAGTCCGACGCCGTCGCCATGGTGGCCAACTTTGGCAGCCTGAGGAGCGCTGTCAACGCCGACCCGGAACATCTCGCCCTCATCGGGGGTTGGGGTGGCACAAAGGTCAAGAGGTGGACGGCCGCTGTGAATGAGCCGTTCAGGGTCAGGAAGAAGATAAGGAGGGTAGGTGGTACCCAGGTCGGTGCCGGTGCCGGTGCCGGTGTTGGCCCTCAGGTGTCGTCGACGCCGTCGACACAGCAGCAGCAACAGCAACAGCGTCGTGAAGATGGTGCCTCTCAGGGCGGTGGGACCCATCAGCGGGGGAATGCTCTGAGTCGCTCACAGCCTTCCGCTGCCCCCCGCTCACAAGAAGCCGGTCCGCAACCGAGCCGCTCACGGCCTGCTGCTTCCGGTACACAGCAGAGCACATCCTCAGCGGCACCGAAGGCAGTAGCAGAAACAAGCTCCAGATCGGGACAGCTCCATCTCATGGCCGGCCTGGATGATGGGGACGCTGATGTCGATGAGGAGGCCATGATTGCTGCTGCTATTGAAGAATCGAAAAAGTTGACCCAACGGCAACGGCAGGAGCAGCAGCAGCAGCCACCAAAGTCGTCGTCCAGTTCTTCACATCAGCAGCAAGAGACACGGAGTCAGGAGAAGGGCAAGGATCAACTCAGTGATGGCGTTGCTGCTGCTCTGGAAAGGTTACGACAGGGCGGCGGATGAATATCTAAGGGATAACGCAAAGCCCCGAGAGTCAATGAGCCGATGCCAGGAAACGCATGCCCATTGACCTGTAGGATAAGAAGCCCCTTTCTCACATAACCCCGACCTGCTGCTCAGATGTCGGAATGCTCCTACACGGGGCGGGGCCATCTGTAGGATTTCATCACGCGAGAACGATGCTCGCGGATGGACATATTCGGTGTACCGTACGAGCACCTGCCACACACACACGCCGCAGATCATTATCCGCATCGGCATGTCAGACCAGAGTTACGTCGAGGGCTGTAGGGTTTATGGTCGGGGGATCTATCCGAACGTTACTATCTACGGCAAACGAGTATCGTGTCAGAAACAAGGAGGGAGTTCGTTCTCTGCGACTCCTGACACGGATCGTCAGGTACGCCCATTTTTTTTTCTATCGTGTCTGCGACACAAGAACAGGGAATTCCCAACAGCCTTCGGCCCGTCCCAGTCGATAGGAAGCAAATCAACATGGACAAGATTGAAACAGACGCACACACAGCCCCAGTCCACCGCGGGTCTCTCGAACCTCATGGGGGCGAGCGGAGGGACCCCGATATTGTACATGTACAAGTAGTCTGGGTCTTCCCTGCCTTTTCATGCACGGGGATCCTCGGCTTCTGAAGACTTGGCCACACAAGGGTGTCGGGTCTTCTCACATATTGATACTCGTACATCCATTAACACCATGGGGAAGTAAACTGGGCAAAACTGGCCATTGCGAGCCAGGGTCTTGGGCGCAGATGGACGTCGGCTAGCGATCGGAATGAGTGGGAAGCACGGCCAACCCGCATCAGATCAGCCGAGGGGCAGTGGAACAGGATGCCACCATGGGACAACCGGAACCAACATGGAGTCCCAACTACGGCACCCCGTCTACAGGTACAGGCTTCGGTGGAAAACAAGGACGAGGAACGTTGCAATTGACTCGTACGATCTGCCGTCCCGATCCACCTTCCTATTCGAGACAGTGTCTCTGCGACGACACGCCACGCGCCTCTCTCTCCCTTGCCCTTTCGTGAGCTTGTTTACTCTTGTCGTGTGTCGCGGGGAGGGTTCCGACGGAGGGGGCAGGGGAGGGGTGAGAGGGAGATGATCCTCACCTTTCTGATCGGCACATGCACATGGGGGACCCTTTTGTGATGAGAGAGACATGGGGTGATGAGAGAGACATGGGGCATCATCACGTTGTACTCTTTGTTCGTCTACCGTTCCCACTATGTAAAAAGGGACTGTCCTCCTCCCTCCGTTCCCTTGGTCTTTCTACAGAATCCTCCGTCGCTGCTCAGGGGAGCTGTTTCCGTCGTATCAGTACCGCCGCACGAAACAATGCGTTCTCTACGCCAACTAGGCATCCTATCAGGTCTCGCGGCCGTCAGCCACGAAGCGCCAAACCCGACATCTCACAAGAGAGCCGAGGCCATAAAGGAGACGTACCGCGACTCGTGGAAGGTCTACTACGAGAACGCCTTCCCCAACGACACGCTGATGCCGCTGAACAACACCTTCCTCAACGACCGGAATAGGTGGGGCGTCACGGCCATCGACGCGCTCACGACGGCCATTGTGCTCGAGGACGAGGAGAGCGTCAACCAGATACTCGACTTCGTGCCGACCATTGACTTCACGACGACGGCGGAGCCGGGAGACATTTCGCTGTTCGAGACCAACATCCGGTTCTTCGGCGGGCTCCTGTCGGCCTACGACCTGCTCTCGGAGCCCCGGTACGCCAAGCTGGTCCGGGACGGGAGTCACGTCGGGGCGTGCCTCGACCAGGCCAGGTCCCTCGCCGACAGCCTCAAGTTCGCCTTCGACACGCCCACCGGCATCCCCGACCCGGTCGTGCGGCTCAACCCGGACCGGAGGCGCAGCGGGGCGACGGTCAACAACGTCGCCGAGGCGGGCACGCTCATCCTCGAGTGGACCCGCCTCAGCGACCTCACCGGCGACAGGCAGTACGCCGACCTGGCCAGGCGCGCAGAGTCGTACCTGATCAGCCCGAAGCCGGCGAGCGCGGAGCCCTGGCCCGGGCTGACGGGCACCTTTGTCAGCATCGCCAACGGCAGCTTCACCAGCGACGGCGGCGGCTGGGGCGGCTACACCGACAGCTTCTTCGAGTACCTCATCAAGATGTACCTGTACGACCCGGACGACTTCTCCCCCTACAAGGACAGGTGGGTGGCGGCGGCCGAGTCGACCATGGAGCACCTCGCGTCGCACCCGAGATCCCGGAACGACCTCACCTTCCTGGCAGACTACGAGGGTCAGGTGACGATCTCCCGGTCGACTCACCTGGCAAGCTTCGCCGGCGGCAACTTCATCCTGGGCGGCATCCTCCTCGACGAGCAGAGATACATCGACTTCGGCCTCGCCGTGGCGGAATCGTACTTTGAGACGTACCGCTCCACGGCCACGGGCATCGGCCCGGAGGCCTTTGCCTGGACGTCCGACGAGACGGCCCACCGCGATGGCGACGTCGACGTCGACGCCGACGCCGGCTTCTGGGCCACGTCGCCCTCGTACATCCTGCGTCCCGAGACGGTCGAGTCCCTGTACTACTCGTACCGCGTCACCGGCGACCCCAAGTACCAGGACATGGCGTGGGAGGCGTACCGCAGCATCGACGCCGCTACCGGGCTCCGGTCAGGAGCCCACGCCGGCCTGCAGAACGTCACCGTCCAGGACGGCGGCTACGTCGATAAGATGGAGAGCTTCTGGCTCGCAGAGACGCTCAAGTACCTCTTCCTCACCTTTGACGTGGACTCGGAGGATCTACAAGTCCGAGGGGATGGGGGGAATAAGTGGGTGTACAATACCGAGGCTCATCCCGTCAAGATTAGGCATTAGTTCATGTGTGCTTCTCAAGAGATGGAGGGAGGTGGGTACTTTTTCCTTCTTCTCTCTCTTTTTTTTCTCATGCTTTTCTGATGCTTTCTTTACTGGAGAGTCGCATGTCTCATTGTCGATAACAATCTTTTTTTTATCATCAGTATATTTATTCACCGTCATGGTTTCCATGCCCATGTCCCCATCTCCAAGCCGTCTCCCATTCCCTCTCTTCTTCTTCTTCTTTCCCCCAAGACACTTCGTCTCATTCTCCATTTTCAATAAAAATTTCAATAAAAATATGGAATGTTGAAATGATACCTTCTCTCTACCCCCCCTCCCCCAAAAAAAAAAATTTTTTTTGGGGTTAAAATAAAAGATAAAATAAAAAACCTTTTACGCACCCCCATCTCTCTTAGCATACTCCTCCTCCATCCTCTCCTCGTACACCGCGTCGGCCTCTAACTCCTCAGCCGTCTTTTCCCGCGTGATTCCAGCACCAGTGTTGGTACCTGCGCCTGAGCCTGCGCCTGAGCCTGCGCCTGAGCCTGATCTTGTACTTGGGCCTGTACCTGTGCCTGAGACTGTTGCCTCATCATGGGAGCGAGTCGGGGCAGCGTCCGTCACTGTGGTGGCCGACTTGGCTTCGTCGGATGTCGGGGCCTTGAAAGCGGGGAGACCCATAGTAAGATGTTGCGATCTTTGCCGTCTGATTGTGCGTTGAATACAGGTTGAAAGGGACTTGGTCTTTTTTTTTTCCGTTTGGGTTTTCTTTTTTTTGAAATCTGTTTTTTTGTGCTATGTTGAGAAACCTGGAGAGAGATATATTATAGTCTCGGATTCTTAATGTAATGAAAGAAATCATGATTGTAGAGTGAAATCATTGATGCGCGGACCGGGGGCTCTTATTAAAGATGAGAGTGGCAAAATGTAACTACGTCACTGCGGCTAGTGCTAGTGCCATGTACAGCCACAATTGGAGTCACAACCAGGAGCAGTGATGGGACGTCAAAGTCCTTGATTTAATCTACATCATGATTATTCTCGAGGTGTATGAAGCAAGACTGAGTCTGAGGGACCCTCGTCTAAGTCTAAACAATACGGCAGTTTGCGAAGAATACAAAAGAGGTAAGAAGGGGGGGAGGAGATACCACATCAGGGAAGTGAGCCGCCAACTACTACTCCTCGCTCTCATCGGTATCGTCACCACCGGGGAACTCGCGAGCCTCACCGATATCGCAGACGTCAAACACACCCTCCTCAGGGATCTGACGACGCCTCAGGGCCTCCTTGAGAAGCATGGGCGGCTCCAGTACGTGCTCGGAGGTGAGGGTCCATGTGCCCCAGTGGATCGCCATGGCACGACGGCACCTGGTCTCGCGGAAGATCTCGACAGAGCCGAACGGGTCCGTGTGGACCGAGGAGAAGGCGTCGCGGGGATCGTAGGCGCCGATGGGGATGAGGCCCAGATCGAAAGGACCGCGGTGCTCACCGATCTGACGGAACTGCGGGTTCGGGTCGGTGGGGATCGTCGTCTCCCCCTTGACCTTGTATGTGCGAGCGTATCCCGTGTCGCCGGCGAACCAGAGGGAGCGGCCGCTGGAGCGGACAGCCCACGAAGACCAGAGGGTAGCGTCGCGGTCCCAGAGGGTTCGGGCCGACGAGTGCTGCGCGGGGAGACAGGACAGGGTGGCTGTCATGGTGGTGGGCTGGCCAGCGTCGTCCTTGACCGTGACGCTGAGCTCGGCATCCTCCCACCAATCCAGCTCCGTCACCTTGGTGATGCCGTGGGAGTGGAACCACGTCGCCAGGCCGCGGCTGACAAAGTAGTGCGCGTCCGGGTGATAGCGGCGTACCTCGGCAATGGTAGGGTTAGACAGATGGTCATAGTGATTGTGACTGATGAGGACCACGTCCACGATAGGGATGTCCTGGACGCTGCAAGGAGCACGGGTGTACCGCTTCGGTCCCAGGCCAAACGTCGTGGCGATGCGCGGTGCGCACCGCTCTTCGAAGACGGGATCTGTCAGAACCCGCAGCCCAGACGGGAATTCGACGTAGTACGACGCGTGGCCCAGCCACGTCGCACGAATGTTCCCGTTCGTCTGCTGCGAGAAGCGGGACGGTGACCACTTAGGCTCTACTACCGAGATCCCATGGTTCGCAGTGTCGGGATACCTCATCCGGCCCGTGATGTACGGCCTGAAATTCATTTATTTAGCATCGATCCTCTCTTCCATCCTTCCACGTCAGCATAGGAGAGGGGGGAAACATACCAGAGGATGGCGCTAAACACCTGGATGTCGGCAAATGAAGGGTACGGGTTCCTGAAGCCAACCACCTTGCCGCCCTTCTTCACATGATGAGGGTTGGACTCTGCCTCCTTAGGCAAGTTGGTACGGCCCTCGGTCTTCCTGACCTGGGTCGAGTAGTGATGCGACGATGATGACATTTCAAATGATGAAGAAGATGAGCCGGCCGTGGCCGCGGAGGTATCGAGCAGAGGTCGTCGCCCGTCACGAGGAGATGATGCAGTCATGAGGTTTCTCCCAAATTCCGTGGCAGTGGGACGATGATGGTTCTGGCGGGAGGGAAAGGGCAAGGTGCGAATCAAGGAAGGCACCGGAGGGGACAATCTGACCATTGCACTCAAGGAAGGCTCGGATGGGGGACAAGGAAAGGAGAAAGGGAAGCTACTGCATGTGTGTCCAACATATTACGCGGCTCTCACGCGATTCCTGTCAGACGGAGTTAAGGGACTTACTTTTTTTTTTTTTGTTTCCTTATCGAAGTCAGAGCTCAATCCCGCTCCGCTGCTTCCCGTCTTGGCTTTACGCCGGGCCGCAAAAGGTACAGGTCAGTACATCTTAACTCCGTGTCAGATCACGTGCACGACTTGGATGGTTCTGGTTCATCAACGGACATGTTTCTTGTACAGATTATATTGAGCAGACTATCCAGCTGAAATGAATAGGAAGAACAGGAACAGTGCTAATCATCATCAGCTCCCGATAAAATGTGGTATCTGTGGTATCTCATAACTTATATATTTCCCGATTCGCGCATTCATCATCAACGATATGCAACCCCGTGCCGTGTCATGAAGACAATTCCATCCTTTTTCCAAACGCCGTCGCCTAGTACAAGAACCAAACCAATACATACAAGAAAAATAGAAGAGGGGAAAAGAAACAGTACAAGGATGCACATCTCCCGTCTGTGCAGGGGGAAAGACAGACATTACCCGTCGACGTCACCACCAGACCGCGGAGACTGCTCATCCGTGCCGAGCTCGCGCTCCAGCTCGTCCGCCACAAAGCCCTCGTAGTCGTCCAGGTTCTTCTGGACATGAATCTTGAACTTGATGACGTCGTTGAGCATCCGGTCGATCTCGGTGTGGAGTTCTTCTCGCAGGGCGTTAGCCCGGAGAACAAGCTGTTCATACCTGGAAACAATGTTAGTCGTATAGAGTACCGGTCGAGATGGGAAACGGACTTACTCGATCGTCGTGTTAATCTCCCTCTGCTCGAGCAGCTGCACCGACTCGGTCAGGCCCGCTCGCATGCGCGACAACTCCTTCTCCATCTTCTCGATCTGTGTGTCAGACGACATCTTCTGCGCCTGCGTCACCTCCTTCGTCTTCTCGTATTCCTCCTCGGCGGCGCGCACGCGGTGGTTGAGAGCGTCGACCTCACTTCGCTTGTCCTCGATGGCCTCCTTTATGCCATCGAGCAGATCGTGGTCTTTCATCATGTCCTCCATGGCGGCGCTGCGGCGCTCCGAGATCTCCTTGCGCAGCGAGAGGAAGTCGCTCCGGATCTGTCCCCGCAGGTCAAGGTTGAGGATGTGGCCTGGCTGGTATCCGGTCGTGGAGTCCTCGAGCAGGCGGCCTACGGGTGCCGTGCCACCGCTCGTCGAGGCCTTGAAATTGGACGACGTGAAATCCGAGTCGTCGCTGACCATGACCTGGAGCTCGTACTCCCTGCCGCGGGCGTTGGCAGCCGATGGAGGGATCAGAGCGATCTGGTAGGCGAGCGTGTTGTACCGGTCAACAGAGCGCTCGAGCTCCTCAAGCTTGTGGCCAGCCTCGAGCTCCTTGTCGGCCACCTTCTTCTTGACCTCGTCGAGGCGTTGGCTGGCCGACTCGAGGCCCTTTTGCAGACGCTCACGCTCCGAGTTCATGCGGTCGATATCCTGCATGCTGATCCCCTGGGCGTCGACCGACTTTTGCAGCCTACGGCGCTCGTCTTCGGCCTCCCTCAGCTCCTCCTGTAGCTTCTCAAGCTCCTCCTCCAGCACGTGGATACGGTTCTCGTACTTTTCCGACCGCTGCACAGCCAGCGTGTTGTACTCCTCAAACTTGGCCTTGTCCTCCTCCATAATCTTAAAGTGGTTGTCCAGGACGGCCGGGTCGGGCGTCGACTTTTGCAGGTCCTCAATCTCCTTGAGCAGTCGGGCATTCTCGGTCTCGAGCATCTCCAGCTCCGATGTGTACTTGGAGTTGGACTGCTCAAACGCCTCGGCCATGGCGGCCACGTGCGGCGCCAGCACCCGCTCCGCATCATCGTCCCCGGCTGACTCATCCATAGCCAGCCAGTCCCGGTACCCGTTGCTGAGGAAGTCGAATATGATGCGGTCGCCCGTCACGTCGATCCCACTCTCCAGACACGCGTCGTCGTACCGCCCGTTACTGTAGCCCTCGAGCATCTGGCCCAGCTGCATCATCCAGTGCAGCAGGCCGAGAAAGGTGCTCCAGTTCTGTCCACCCACGGCTGCGATCTGGCTCTTGGTGATGCTCCTCTCGAAGGGATATCGCAGCTGCTTCAGGATGGGCGGCACCTCCTGGTCGATGTTCTTCTGGAACCGGTGGCTCGGGTCTATGCGGCGGTACAGCCACTGGAACATGTAGTTGAAGTCCTTTTGTGTCGGCGACTTCATGACGTTCTGCGACAGCATGTGCTTCATCTCCAGCTCAAAGTTGTTTTGCGACATGTAATCCATCAGTTCCTGCCCGATGCGCGCCTGGTACGATCGGTCCCTCAACGGGCGGGGGTCCCGCGGAACGCCTGCCGCCTGCGGTGTCGCCTGAAAGAAGCTCTGGTGGTGGAGTAAGGGCCCGTTGGTCGAGGACTGCCGTGGGCGGTACACACTGCTGCGTCGGTCGGTGTCTTGTGCCGTCCTCGTGGCCGCCACGGGTGTGAAGTTCCCTTTCGGCTGGATGGATAGGCGCTTAGCCACCGAACCCCCCAGGTCGGCCATATTACCTCCGACCGAAGGTCGTGCAAAATGAGGCTGGCTCGGTCGCGACATGGCCAAGGACTGCCTAGATCCTGACATGGACCGCGCATGGCCGCTCGCTAGGTTGCCGCCACCGCTCGAGTTGGTTCGTTTCATGGTCGATCCGGGTTGAGGGAGTGCCGAGTTTGCATTGAGTCCTCCCAGAGTCTACCAGTTCCCCGACTACCGGTCAGTCAGCTGAACAGGGTGACATGTGACCATCCTCTGATCAACATCTGTTTCCGCCCATGCGGCGCGGGGCGGAAGGGAGATCGGTCGCACTTACCTCTCTCGGTCTGCGGACACTCCACAGACCAGTATCCTGCGACATGGTGGTTGATGTCGTGTCTTGTCTCCCTGCGTGTGTATGATCCGTACGCGGTTCTCCAAGGGGGCAGAGAAGAAGAAGAGGGCGATGTAAAGCGTATAATTGCTGTGCGTTGGATTTATCGGCGTCGCATAATTTAATGGAATCTAACGCCCGGGGGGTGGAGGGGCGTATTGAAATGGCGTTGCTGGGACCTAAAAGTAAACAAATGGGTGGTGACGTCTTTGATTGGCTGATTGTGGGTGACTGGGCGCGACGTACTATCTGGTCGCCGATGAATCACGTGATTGTACTCGGTACGTACTCCCAAGAGCCGATTCGAGCGTCATGCGACCGCCGGCTTCCTCTGCCTCGGTGCAGCCAGCCTCCAGCCATCTCCAGTCATCTCCAGCTGGTGCCCGTCATCTTCTCCTCTCCCCGAACCCCCTCCTTCTTCAAACCCATCCCGGGACCCAAGTTCGTGAGGTAGAAGGCGTTTGATAGAAGGCCCTCATACACACATCATGGCAATCCGCGAGGATCTTGTCGCCTCCGCGGTAAGTCAAACCACCTGCCTGGATAAGCTCATATGAAACCCGAAACTAACTGCGATACGACAGACGCAATGTCAGTGACAGGCCGAGTTGGCAAACGATCAACCTGATCTCGCGAAACTAACACATGCCGCAGTTCTCCAGGACCCCAGCGTCGCGTCATCATCGGTCGAGAATCGCATCTCCTTTCTCCGATCTAAGAACCTGACCCAGGAGGAGATCGACGCCGCCATGTCGCGGACAGGTGCCGGCCCTCCCCCGGCCCCGGCTAACTATCAGGCGTCCCCCCAGCCTTCTGGCTCCCCGGTACCGTATTACCAGTCCTACCCTCAGAGCGCATGGCAGCAGCCGCCTCCTCCGCCTCCGACAAGGGACTGGAGGGACTGGTTCATCATGGCTACCGTCGTCAGCGGCGTGAGCTATGGTCTTTATTCTCTGGGCAAGGTAATCACATCTTTTCCCTCGCGGCACGCCGCCGAATGAATATCTGACCGTCAGAAACTGACGTGAGCCGACCAGCGTTACGTTATGCCCCTCGTGGCCCCCCCGACCCCCGAGAAGCTAGAGCAGGACAAGAAGTCGATCGAGGAGCAGTTTGACCGCGCATTTGCGCTGGTGGAGCAACTTTCCAAAGACACCGAGGAACTCAAGAAGGCCGAGCAGCAGCGCACCGAGCGTCTGGACGGTGCTATATCCGAGCTGGAGACGGTCATGGCAGACCTCAAGACGGCCAACCGCCGCCGCGAGGACGACGCCCAGCGCGTGCGCGACGAGATTCAGGCCCTCAAGGACTCGATTCCCAGGGCCATGAACAACCAGAAGGAGCTGACCGACAGCCGCCTGCGCGAGATCAACGGTGAACTCGGCAGCCTCAAGACCCTCGTCTCGCAACGCATGTCCACCCCCACTTCTGCCAACCCTCTCCGCCCCGCCAGCGGACACTCGACTACGTCGTCGCAGGCCGCCACCAACGGCAACAACAACAACAACAGCAGCAGCAGCACCAGCAGCAGCACCAGTGCCGAGACGGCCGCCGCGACCCCCACTGCTACAACTCCAACGGTCGAGACGGCTCCCAAGCCTGTCGGGCGCACCTTTGGAAGCACAACGAATGGTGGCAGCACGCCCGTAAAGGCGTCTATCCCGGCGTGGCAGATGGCCTTCTCTAACAAGAATGACGGCGCCGCCACTGGTCCGTCGACTACGGCTACGGTCGAGGACGAGACCCCCGCTACGGCTTCGTAGGGGAGTGGTGTGCGGAATATGCAGGACGAAGATGGTTACGTGATGATATGGCGGTGGTTGGTATGTATCTTCTCATGTATTACATATATCTTAGGGGCTGCCAGTGAGTATAGTACTAGTAGTGTGCATGGCGTTGTTCCTTTGGGTGCTATTCCTTGGCAAACAATATGAGAGCTCTCAAAAGGCACCCTTTTTTTAATTCTCTTCTCCTTGTATCCTTTCGATTACACACTTGCGTGCCGGGTTCTGATAGCATGCATCGCTAGTCTATCATGGCGATGTAATCGTGTGTCGATACCAGGTCTGGCAAGATACCAGTGACATATCGCATGCACTCAGTGGGACATTTGTCTGCAGATCAACCATGTACGTTCTTCGCCCTGACCCGTACTCTCAGGCCTAGTCTTTCTTACCAAACGGGATAGACCCCCCCCCCCCCCCCCCCCCCGAGCACTCCATACACACGGAGCATGAACACAAGTATGCCGTAGCCGATGGCATGGGGCCCACCGGTCTACAAAGACGCCAAGGTTTGTGCCGAGGCTGCGGAGTTCCGGCATATCATATTCCAGTACGCAACTCCTCGTACTATTGAACATAGATATACCGTCGTGCTGTGTCTTTTTCCCCATCAGTTATAGTGCACCTCTTATTACTACTTGGATGCGCATACGCCACCGACTGCATCCCAGAACTCCGGCCTTGTCGAGTCGCCAGGCTCACATGGCAAACTTCGATCCTGAACGGTTGAAACGAACAAGCATACAAAGATCGTTCCTGCCATCTCGTTCAAGCGCTCAACGAATACCGCAGCTACCGCACTTTGTTCTTTGATTGTTTTCTTCTTTCCCTCCTTCCTCATCTGAGGGACTCATCTCTAGCATAGGCCCGTCAAATCAAGTGAACGGCACAAGCAAGAATGGACGGCGGAGGTCTCAAGAAGCTCATGATAGTTCTGCAAAAGCTGCCGCTCATGCTGCGCGTGACGGTGATGCACCTCCTCGGCCTGTCAGAGCAGTCCCGGCACCTCGATCTGCGCAGCAACCTGACTGTTTCGGTTTTGCGGTCATTTATAGAGCCTCCGGCCGGGGGACGATCTCTAGAGGCAACGCAGAGGATGACCCTCAAGGATCCCGGCGTCAAGGGCAAGATGTGGGTTAGCACGTACACTGCACCGGCACCCCCAGAGACGAGCGTCCGCGACGTTGTTGTCAAGATGATCTGCGACATGGCTTCCGCGGGCTCTACGGAGCAGCAGCCGGCCTTCACCGTCCCGGATATCCGTCCCGTCGAGGCCGAGTGGACGGGACACAGGGCCGGAGCGGCTAAGGATGAACTCCCCCCCGCGGGCATGGCGCCTGAGAAGGTCTATGACGAGATGATGAAGGAATGCACGCAGCCTACGACGGTGATGTACCTCCACGGCGGGGCTTACTACCTCCTCGATCCGTCGACGCATCGCCGGGTCAACATGGGATTGGCGAGACGCACGGGTGGGCGGTCATATTCGGTGCGGTATCGTCTGGCGCCGCAAAAACTGTTCCCGGCGGCCCTCTTGGACGCTTTTGTCTCGTACCTCACGCTGCTGTACCCGCCGCCGGAGGCGTACCATGACCCCGTCAAGCCAGAACACATTGTCTTGGCTGGTGACAGGTAAGTGCTCTTCCGGTCTTCACCTTGTGCCCTCCATTTCGTGTTCCATTGTATACTCGTCAGGTTGCTGTGCGGAACAATTGGCTGACTAGAGCGACAGTGCCGGCGGAGGCCTGTGTTTCGCTCTCCTCCAGCTCCTCCTCGAGCTTCAGCGCAGCAGCACCCCGGTGATATGGTACGGCGAATCGCGCAGCGTGCCGCTCCCCGCCGCGCTCGCCAGCAACTCCCCATGGCTAGACATCACGCACAGCTCCCCCCGTTGGCAGGGCGAAGACCCAGCGCCCTACGACTATCTCGGCAAGCCGGCCGTCTGGGCCAAGGGCAAGATCATCCCGTCCCCCATCTGGCCCGCCAACCCGCCGCGCGAGTACATCTACGCCGAGGACGGGCTGGGGTTGCACCCGCTCGTGTCGCCCATCATGGCACCCAGCTGGAAAGGAGCCCCTCCCGTGTACATTTGCACGGGGTGGGAGATGATCGGTTACGAGGACCGGTGCGCAGCGTCCAGGCTTGACGAGGACGGTGTGCCGGTCGTGTATGAGGAGTACGAAGCTATGCCGCACTGCTTTGCCATGGTACTCCCCGGGGCGGCCGTGTCGGAGCGATGCATCGATAGCTGGGCCGGGTTCATCGCCAAGGCTGTGGAGGAGCCGGGATCGATCATGTCAAAGGGTATCGTGATCAAGGCGCCCTCACTGGATGAGGTGGCCCTTGAGTTGGAGGATCTCAAGGAGCCTAAGGATGACGAGATTTGGCGGCGGGCGTCGTCTAAGTCGACTACCTCGAGGCTATGATATCGTGTTTTGCGTATCGCAGTGCTTGCGCAAGAGGTTGGGTCGAGGTTATAGAGCAAGGGTGCGTGCATCAGTACCGTTAGCCACACGGTAGATGAGACATTTGAATGCCATGGCGAGCTAAAAATACGGACCCGGTTACTTGTCAGCCTTTATCAAGCAGTGTACAGATTAGTTGATTGGTGTTATGCAATAGATCGAGAGAAGCAAGGCCAGCTCCCCCCCCGCAGGGCTGACAGAGGCAAAATCAGAGACCAAATCTAACACTTGGTGATTCAATACATGTACGTACTTGCGATACATGTAGACACGTTGTGTATAGGAGTGCGAAATGTTTGCTAGCCCGTACAGTCACCGTCCGCGGCAGTCCAAGTGGTGTTATGTAAGCCAACTAAACAGTTAAAAGTACTTTGGATAAAGATCAAGATACAGAAGAAACGTTTTGAAAGGATTCACAACCAGATCTGCACTCGAAGAAATGCCACACGAGCGTATAGGGTAGCGATTTTTGAAGGTGTTAATGCATGTGTGTTGGCGGCTGAGCAATTGAGCCAATAATATTACTGCAAAGCTACAGGTACTTTAAACGTCAAGGCAACAGCACTGACAGCATGTGACATCAGAGCAATCGTGACGAGAAGCTCTGCCGTGCTCTCAATGAGGCGATTGGCCCTTTATTTTTTTTACCCTGTCTCTTCTTTCAAATCTTTCGTCTTCCCCCTTAGGAGTGTCCTCATCACTGATGATAAATTGACACATTGAAGGGGCAGTGAATTGCGGCATCGTGGCAGGAAACGAGCCAGTGAAGGTTGATGGAAAGGGAAGGGGCCAACCACTTTTTGGGCCCCACTTACCACTTCTCAAGCTCTTGGGAGCTGAGCTCTCTGAACCCTCGATCCTTTCTCTCTCACTGACCTCATTGCATCCACGCACTCTCTCTCCTCTCCCCCATCTCCCCTCACTTCCCCACCGCCCACGCTGTTTGTATACAGGGAAACCCTCGCGCAGCGCAGTGAAGAGCCGTCAGAATGGAGCGTCACAGGCAGGCTGTGTCTAAGATATCGACCGCCGTGCGCGGCTATTTCGAGCGCTCTGAGCCGTACCGCATCTTCCACGGATCGACCAACAGCACCAGGCCTCGCCCTAAGCCTGGCCAGCCCTCGGTGAACTTTGTCGACATCAGCGCCCTCAACAATGTCCTCTCGGTTGACCGCGTCGCGCGTACGGCCCTCGTCGAGCCCAACGTCCCCATGGACAAGCTGGTCGAGCAGACCCTGCCACACGGCCTCGTGCCCCCTGTCGTCATGGAGTTTCCCGGTATCACTGCCGGGGGCGGATACGCGGGAACTGCAGGCGAGAGCAGCTCTTTCCGCCACGGCTTCTTTGACGACACCATCCGCAGCGTCGAGATGGTCCTCGGCAACGGCGAGGTGGTGCGTGCCTCGCGCGAGGAGCGGGCCGACCTCTTCAAGGGCGCTGCCGGCGCCGTCGGAACCCTGGGCACCACGACGCTCATCGAGCTGAACCTCATCAAGGCCAAGCGCTACGTCCACACCAGGTACCACCGTGTCAACTCGGTCTCGGAGGCTGTGGCTCGCCTCAAGAAGGAGACGGCCGACCCGGCCAACGACTACGTCGACGGCATTCTCTACTCGCCCGACCACGGCGTCATCATCACCGGCAGTCTGACTGATGAGAAGCCCGCTTCGGCCGCTGTTCAGACTTTCAGCGGTGCTTGGGACCCTTGGTTCTTCATGCACGTCCAGGAGCGCACTGCCGCTTCTGCCACGCCCGCCACGTCCTCGGATTATGTTCCCCTCGGCGAGTATCTCTTCCGATACGACCGCGGTGGCTTCTGGGTCGGCGCGGCCGCCTTCAAGTACTTTGGATTCGTTCCCTTTACCCGCTTCTTCCGCTGGTTCCTCGACGACTTCCTGCATACCCGCATGCTGTACCGCGCCCTCCACGGCAGCGGCGAGTCGGCCCGCTTCGTCGTCCAGGACCTGGCCATGCCGTACTCGAGCGCCGAGCCGTTTGTCGAGTACACGACGGAAAAGTTCGACATCTGGCCTCTGTGGCTGTGCCCCCTGAAGCAGGCACCCGAGCCCACCTTCCACCCCCACACGGGAGAGGTGCAGGAGGTTGACGGCCAGTCCAGGCCGGCCGACATGCTCAACATTGGCCTGTGGGGCTGGGGTCCGTCGGATCCTGACGCCTTTGTGGCCAAGAACCGCGCTCTCGAGGACAAGCTCGCCGAGCTCAACGGCATGAAGTGGCTGTACGCGCACACATACTACACGGGCGAGGAATTCTGGGCCCAGTACGGCTCGTCGTGGTACGAGGACCTGCGCAAGAGGTACCATGCCACCACGCTGCCCACAGTATACGACAAGGTGCGCGTCGACGTCGACAGGCGGCGTCGCGAGCTGCTGGACTGGCGCCAGAGGGTCAAGAGTTACGCCCCACTGGGTGGTCTGTACGGTATCTGGAAGAGTATTCTGAGCCGTGACTACTGGCTGCACCGCAACGCGCAGTGGAAGTGGAAGGGAGAGGAAGCCGAGAACAAGCGCCAGATAAAGCAGGACTAGATGGCGTCGTAGCCTGTCGGTGTTGCTGACCTGCTGATCGTCGAACCACAAGTAAGACTGTTGCATCGTGGAGCTGGGAGGGGGGCAGAGTTTTTTTAAAAAAAAAGGAGGGACCGAGTCGTGTATGAATATGCCTGAGCGCCACATCTTGCGCGTGTGATTTTCCTATTTGTTCTTGTAGAGTTATCAACAGATGAATGCCGTGTCGATATTGATGTGCTATTCCCAACCCTCACGTTTTACGTTTTATCGCCAGAATGATGTTTCCCCTCCCCCCCCCCCCTCTGGCGGCCCTGCCGGGGACTGACCTCGCTACGCTCGAAGACTTGAATTCTGTGGTAAAAGTATCTAAAGTACATTGCAAGATTCCAAGTGATCTATCCAAGTGGACATATTCCTTCCCATTCGGCAGGACATTGTGAAAGAAGGTCCCCCCCCCCCAAATCGATGAGGACGTCATCCTAGAGTAGTACTCCACTCGATCATGTCGGTGTACTCAGATCCGTAATAGGTGTTGAGCCGTTGATATGAAGAAGAGAAAAAAAAAGAAAAGGGATCAGGTCACGATCTAGCGTCAGAAACTTGGATGGTCAAGTCAGGTATTCATGATTTGAAATTGTCGTACGGGTAGTAGAGTCCCGTAACAGTGGTAGATGGGGTAGAATGGGAAGAAATAATACTTGGTGTCATTCTGAGAAAGCTCTCTCTGTGTAAGAATACTTGCACTCACAGAATTGATGTAAAATGCAATACAGATTACAGATTACAGATTACATACATGAATGTTACCCCGTTCCAATCAGGCACCAACTTTGCCACCAATTGCGTGGAATTTTTTTTTTTTTGCATGGTGACCCTTTCTAATCAAGTGGCAGGATTGACACCCCCCCCCCCCTCCCCTCCTTCTTCTTTTCATTCTGCCCCACACGATTTTCAGGAACAAGATTACATAATAATACTCGGCTATCGTTATGAGCGAAATCCAGTCACTAGGTCAGTCACATGTATTATTACTTAACGAGCAGTTCATTTCTCTCAAAAAAAGGTCATCTACAAAAAAAAAGAACATTTGTTACATTCTAGTTTCAGTCTTTGCAGATCCAGTGCAACATAATCCTGAGTTCTAGATCAAATATTCTATCCTCTCCCTCTCCCTCTCCCCATCGAGTCCATCTGAACAAACAGCTGCTAGGTACCGACGAATACCCGCCTTCCCTGTCCGCGGGGACAGAGAGAGAGGTCTATGTGTATATCAAAAACGAATGAGGCTAAAAAAAAAAGGTAAACTCTAATTTCTACGAGTACAAAAGAAAGAGAGACAGAAAAAAAAGAAAAGAGATGGAGAAAATGAAGGGAAAGAAAGATAAGAAAGGAGGGAAAATAGTACAGAAAGAATCTCGAGATATACACTCACTTATTTGGCGGGGGCGGCCTTTTTCAGATCAACACCATCGGGAACGTCAAAGAGCTGATTTGGGATAACAAGGTTAGCAAAGATGTCAATCTGAGCAAGAGGGCAGAGGGAGGAGGGACGAGGGAAAGCAGGGAGAGAGACGAGAGGGAATAGACAGAAAGAGGGGGAGAAAAAAAAGGAAAACGGAGAAGAGAAGAGAAGAAGACGAAAAAGAAGGAGAAAAGATAGGGTCGGAATGAACAAACCTTCTTGACATCACCATAGATGCCAAACTGCACGGCCGTCATACCACCAACCATGATGGCCCTAGCCTGCATACCCGCAAACGCACCCTTGACGCCCAGCCTGGTGCCGATGCGGATCAGACGACGGCCCGTGCTCTCCCCCTCGCGTGCCTTATCCTTGTTGACCTGGCTGAGCAGCGTGTCGGCCGGCTGAGAGACGACGGCGGCGGCCAGACCGGCGACCAGACCTGAGCCCAGATTGACGGCCGTGGCACCCGCGGACGAGAGTGACTCCTTGTCCACGAGGGTGTATGCCGTCTGTATTGCTTTTTCGTAGACGAGGAATGTTGCCATCGTGTAAGGTATTCTGGAATTTTCAGGGTCAGCCATGTACAAGGTGAATCTTTCTCTTTTCTTTTCTTTTCTCTTCTCCTCTCTCTTCTTTTCTTTTTTCTTTTTCTTTTTTCTTTTTTTTTCTGGAAAGAGGTGTGAAGAAGAGAAGAGAAGAGAAGAGAAAAGGATAGAGCGGTTAAAGCGGAGTGGAGAAAAAAAAGAGACAGAAAGGGAAAGAACCTACTGCTTCAATAGAATCGGACTCAATCCGGAATACAACCCCTTGAGACCCTCCTCCCTGGCAATCCTGGAGAGAGCACCTGCGAAGCTGGGCGCGTACGAAGGCTGCGACACCAGACGGATGCGCACCGACTCGAACGGACAGAGGGCGAGGTCGCCCAGGAATTCGGCGGCGGCCGAAGAGGCGAGGTAGACGGCGTTCCGGTTGTTGGCGGCCGTCTCGTATCCCAGGGCGTCGACGGCGCGGGCCTTGAAGAATTCGTAGCCTCCGAACTTGAAGGCGCCCTGTAGGCAGTATCCCGTGACAGTGGGGCCGAGGCCGGTCAGCAGGGCTCCAGCGCCCTCGGTCTTGGCGATGTAAGAGCCGCTCTTGACGAGGTTGCTGCTGTACTTGGAGGGGTCGAGTTGGATCCTGGTCTTGACACTGTATAATGGCCATGATTCATCCAGAGGCATGTTTGTCAGACTTCAGGACTACAAAGGATAACAGCAAGTCACACGAGAAAGAGTTACTGGTCAAGTTGGGTCAAGCTTACACATCGACTGGCGTCAGGATGGCATGGGTAAAGGAGCAGCAGAAGGCGCCGGCAAGGGCATATCTGGCGTAGGTAGAGGCGTCCAGGCCTCGGGTGGTGGATACGATCTTGCTAGGTGCTGCTGACGTTTCCGTTGCGGATGCAGATGCAGCTGCGGTCTTGACAGATTTCGATGAAGCTTCGGCGGCCATGTAGATACTATAAAGGGGGAAGAACAGAAGAAGAATAAGATGGTAAGCTTCAGTTACAAATCGGAATAATCGGATTTGAGATGGGTTTGGGAGGGGGGAGGAGTGGATGGAGGATAAGGAAAGGGTAGAGGGATGTGACGTTTGTGTGTGTGTGTGTGTATCAGAGTGCACCACCAGGAAGAGAAAGAGAAAAGTGGGAAAATTAGTGTTGAATTTTTTTTCTGTTGATATGCTGAATCGAGAGAGAAGAAGCAGATGAAGACGAAGATGACAAGATGATTGATGATGAGGAAAGAAAACAAAAGAAACAAAAGAAAAGAGCTACCACCACCTTCTCGAGTTTGAGGCCTTGAGCTCATTAAACTTGTCCGAAAAGGCCTTGCGCTCCTCGTTGGCCAGACTGTGCCCCACCGCATCCAGAACCTTCAAGTGCTCCCTCTTGAGCTCTTCGAAACCGGCGTCCAGCTCCTTGTGCCAGGGGTAGAGGACGAAGACTTGGAAGCCGAGCGCTGAGCTGGCGACCATGAAGTTGGTGAGGGAGATGGCGCGAGTGACGATCATGATGGCGGCTTCGCTCTGCCGTGTATGGTTTGTGTGGTGTGTGTGTGTGTCGTCGTGACAGAGTTGTACCTGTATAACTCGTAGAGTGTTGCGGTGCGTGCGGGTCAAACGGACGCAGGTCGGTAAGTGGGTCAGAGACGGCCCTTGTGAAGGAAGTAGAAAGAAGCCCGCGACGGTCGCGTGTTGGAAATCCGGGGGAGGGTCAGGATTTGTAATGGCAGGGAAGAAAGTGGCGTTCCTTTATGAGTTGAGAGCCGAGTCTGCTTTCTTTGCTTTGCTTTGCTTTGCTTTGGTCTGCTGTTCAAAGGCACAGAGAGAGGGGGAAGATTGGATGGGTGGGTGGAGGAGGAAGAGAGAGAGAGATGAGGTTGATGAGAAGAAGAGAAGAACAAAGAAGGAAGAAAAAAAAAGTTTAGAGTGCGAAGCAAGCCAAATTAAAGGTCGCGTGAGAAGAAAAGAGAGAGAGAGGGAGAGAAAGAGAGAGAGGTAGAGGGTACGTACACATTTCTGTTCACCATCTTCTGTCGTCATGAACCTCGTATGGGAAACAACATGCACCAAAGGTAGAAAAGTATCAAGAATTGGCCCAGACCAACAAGAGGAGACCGAGAGGGATCCAAAAGGCTAGGGAAAGTTGCCCGTTGCGGTCCTTAGAGTAATTGCTCCGTGAGGGAAAGAGCATGGGGGGGGTTTGGTTTGCGCTACCGGGCGGAAGGTGCGATGGGGTCCATTGACCTCGAGGACCCGTCACACGCGCTAAGCCCTGAACCAGGGTCACTTTCGCTTGCAGGCTGAGGCGACTGGAGTAATAATAGGCCTGCCTGCCTACAGGCTACAGGCTATAAGCCAATACAGGGCTCCACGGGTTATGCTAGTACGGATACCTTCCGTACACACATGTACGGGTATGGAACCTGAGCCCTGACACCCTGACAAAGACAGCTGGAGCCAGCTGCAGCCGAAACTCTCGGGTTCCATGTCGACGTGAGTCAAGCTCCACTATTCATCATATCCACCTCTAAAACCAATCATCCTCCTCCTTTAACATACACACTCCGCTAGTTGCCACTTTGGGACCTACCCAACCCGAAAAATCAGACCACTCCAACTGGATACGTATAAACCTCTCGGCCATTGTCCGGGGGGGGGGGGGGGGGAGGCCTGCTGGCCGGGTAGAGTCTGGTATAATATTGGAGCGAAAGAGCGAGAGAGGGAAGGAAGGACAGATAGACCCATTTCTTATTATGTTTCCTTCCTTGTGATGCACTGATTATTCTTCCGATTTCTTTCCCTCTCTCTGACATTCTTGCCACTCTCGGCTATTAACCGTCTCTCTTTCTCCGGTTCCGCTGCTGCCGCCCACTTCGACGGCATCTTTTATTAATCCCGACTCATTCCATTCCCATAATACATTACAGGTACTCATACTATAACCCCTTTCTCATACATGTGATACCAATTAAGAATACTTCTGAGGACTATCAAGTAATACTGCAAACTATATGTATTATGTATCGCATCCCCGACCAACGTAACGTCTCAAGACATGGAGTCAACATGACGGCTTCCCATAATGATTAATCGACCCCGTGGATCCTCTTTTTCTTCTCTTTCCTTTTCCCTCTCCCCCGTCCTTCCCTCCCTCTCTCTCTTCTCCTCTCTCTCTCTCTTCTCTTCTCTTCTCTGCCAATACTGATACTAGTATAGTACTACGAGATCATCCATGCATGATTCTCAACCCCCCCTCCCTCTACCATGTCGCGCCGAACGTGTCGTCATCAAAGTTACATGACATGTCAATCTCATCCAGCAAAGCTCTGTACTTCACCGCATGATGCTGTCGCCGTTGGACTCGTCGACCTCGACCTCAACCTCACATCCCTGGCCATCGAGTCTGAGTCCATGTAGAGATGGGCTAGCTCATGGAGGAGTTGGAATGGTCTGACCGCCCGTCCTCGCGACGGCGAAACTATCCCTATGTCTTCTTTCTCTCCTTGACCTTGACCTACCGCCATCATCAGACTGTCTAGCCTCGCCAGGTCCGCCACTTGAACCCTCTCGTAGATGGAACCAAAGGCGACCATGTACGGCACAAACGGCGTATAGTGTACGCTCCTTTGTCCCTTTTTTTTTTTTTTGTCTGCCACACCATCGAATATTTTCTTCTTTTGCTCTCCCTTCCCTCCTCCTCCCCTCTCCCTCTTCGCCTTGCAACATACCAGTTTAACTGTCGGTGTACAATGATGGGTTCGCTCGTGAGACTGTTCAGATACTCGATGCTCTCCCGATAAGCGTCTAGCGCAGCGCATGAACTTGCATGTACCTGCGGGGAGACCCTCTGCCAAGCTTGCGTCGTTCTGGGCGGCACCGCCCATAACAAGAGTGTCATGACGGTAGAGCAGACGGCTCGTTCTGCACCCACGTATGCCCTATGCATGACGTCGGCCGCAGTAGACAATGCCTAGGGCTCTGTCAGTCCCGGTTCTAGTGTGTGTTATTCGTGACAAGAAGAGAAGAAGAAAAACTCAACCTCGTGTGTTCAAGTTCCTGGCCAACAAATTCCAGCTGCGTCACCAGAATCCCAGCCGACTCCCTGCGACACGCCTCTTCCACCTTCAATTTGTCGCCGCCTGAAAAGCTCCGCGTACATCCGGACCTGGACCTCGGCCACGCGCAGCCAACGGCGCTCCACGGCCGTCGGCGGGGCGCAACGTCGTGATTCCCTACCACGGGGGCCCTTCCCAGCCGCAGACTGAGCGCCCTGTCCATCCTGTATACGGTGTAGAAGAGGCGCGTCTTGGCCAGCCTGGCGGGCTCGTCGTCCCCCGTCGCCGCACCAGCGTAGGATGCCGTCCGGTGGTAACCCTGTGTCTGGACGTGGTTTGCCGCCGCCGAGTTGAGTGTCCAGCATCTGTCATATCGATGGCGTGAAGGGTTCGCAACAAAACGCGTGTCTGGCGTGAGCCTCAAGTTCTTCACCTCTCACAGAGAGAGAGAGAGAGAGTGTGTGTGTGTGTGTGTGTGTTGGAAAGGGGGGGGGTGTGCAGTGTAAGTGATCACTTCAAACGTCAGGCATGCCACCGTCTCCATACTGGCGGCGAGTAGAAACGGTAGTCTCTGGAGGATACTCCCCAGGTAACGGGCGGCTTGCAGGCCGTACCTGAGGAAGTCGGACTGTCCCGCCACGACGGCGTAACGAGGAGTATCAGGGAGAGGCATGCACTCGTCTCCTCACTGGTGCTGCCGGCTACACGTGAGTCGTGACCATCTGACAATAAGTACCTAATCGAAAGAGTACGATAGGTATATTGGCCATACACAGCGGCGATACAGTTCTCCATCATCTACTCGAGACGGATACCCCTCCCCGGATCGTCACCCCCGTCCGGTCTCTGCCGACGAAGTCACGCGGCTGGCTTCCTTAGACGTCACAGCCGTGCTTCTCGGTCTGGCTGACCAGGAGGGTTGTGACTGATGTTGTTTTGGAACAGACCTCAGGAGCAGGTGCCTGCTCGGACAAGACAGGCTGGACACGTGGTCGCGTCAACGACACCGATCCCATAGCCGACTGGACTGGTTCGAGGGGACCGACATCACCTGGATGGTAAGGCAGACTGATATATCCGTTCTGCAGATGAGTCTCTACTATGGCGTTACATCCTACCACATCCCCCCCCCCAAACTCGCGTGTACGTCTCTTCTCCAAACCCAATGTCTCCCTGTCATGCCATCTCATCCCGCTAACCTCCGTCAGACGGCTGCGGATCCGGTCTATTCAACCGGATCCAGATATCACAGCAGCTCCAGCACGCCATACGAAACCTTCATCTCGTGACGGAGCCGTGTACAGATTCCCTGATGACAAGGGGTACGAGTACACACATGGTTCTCACACTTTTCTGACCTTCAGGGAAAAAAAACCCCAACAGGGCTGGTCTGCCATCCTGGATACGTATCCGATCTGGAAAGCCTGTACACCACGCTGATCGGGTGCGTCACGCGCGAAGAACCCCGGACCACCCCGGGCGGCGGCCAACGGTGCAGGCGTGGCCCGGCGTCGAGATGGCGGGGGAGAATCTGCGATTTCCGACCGAGTTGGTCGAGGTTGGGTGGAATTTCGAGTGAGTGACAAGGACGGAGATTGATGTCTCTTCCGAGAAAGAGAAGATACAAGATCCAAAAAAAAATTACAGTAACTAACAAGTCCGTAAAAAGTTCACGCATGACAGCTACAGAGGGGAGACGTATCGGGTGGGGACCGATGATGGACAAGGCCAAGTTCCTAGATGGACTGGGAGACGAGGTTGACCTGGTGGTCTATGAGGCCCCGAGTGGGAAAGGACATGGCTCAGGTGTACAGCAAGCTCAAGGTTGGGAACGGAACCGAGTAGACACTCCCAAGGCTGAGGATAACAGCAATAGTACCCCATACGCCATACGAGCGCATGCGAAAGCACATACATCCATACATGTCACATGCACACACCCATGCCCCTACGCAGCCGTATGTCTGACATCCCCCGCATGGGCGGTCTGCTCGGCGACAATGGTCCTCTGAAAGAGCGAGACGTCGAGCGGCACCCTCTCCCCCATCCAGATGGCCCTCTCGGTATGATCCTTGAGATCGTTGACGGCCTGGCTCTCCCCGGGCTGGTACGTGTTGGGGTGCACCAGGACGGACAGATTGCCCCTCCACACGGCGAGCCAGGGGATGAATGCGCCGAACTGCTCTGGCGTGAAGACGTTGACCTCGAACATGGCCATCGGATGGGGACCTACGGGACGATCCCATAAGCGGTATACTCTCAATTCGGGAACTGTCGAATGTTAGAGAGGTTCAGAGGTAGGTATAATTTATATACACAAACACACATACACACACACGCGCACACACACGGAGAGAGGAAGAGACAGAGACAGAGAGAGAGAGAGAGAGAGAGAGAGAGAGAGAGAGAGAGGAAGAGAGAGAGAGAGAGAGACTTACACTCTCGTCTGATTCTCTGCCACAGTGCCCATGCAAAATTGACCTGAGATTCGTTGGTCTGCATATAGTAGACATGTATGTCACTGTTGCTTGTTAGCGAGATGGTTGATACTGGTATGCATGTACATGGTAATAATACACCGGTAGGAAGATACACGAGATGGATTATTGCGGATATGAGATGACATGTCGGGGACGGAAAAAGAAGGG